TCACTTAAACGAACGTAGGTGCCAAACCAAACCAAATGAACAATTATAATACCCCAAGCTTAACCGTAAAATACCTACAACATTTGCACTTGATCGATCCCCGCTAATTATGTAATTATTTTTTCCCCAACACAAAAACAAAGTAATAAAAAGTAAATTCTTTTCCACTAATGCAATGTTTTATAAAGGGAAGTAATTGTGTTTTCCTAATTTATCAAAGGGAAGTAAGTGATAAGGGACTAAATATAAATAATTTTCAGACATAATTAGAATTTTTGTTATTTTTTTTAAATTGTGTTTAATGAACATGCCGACAATTATTATTATCAGTTTGAAAAATGAAAATTATTTCCCAACACTTTCAATAGTAATTTTTAACTCATAAATTTAGACTATGAGCACGATAATAGTCTAACACTTAAATCCATCAAAGTATGTCAACGACAAACAAACATACTTATTTTTACATACAGAATTGAGCTTTATATATTAGATATGCACAAATCCATTTTCTCTTAATTCTGACTCTAAAGTCGTCTACAAATTTCACACTACATCTACTATCACACTGTCCGACTGTCTACACTTATCAATCTACTTGACTCTAAATCAATCTACTCAACTCTAACTCTGTCTACTTGACTGTAACTCGTAGGTAATTCACGATCTTACATGTGTGTAGCCAGTTTATAATGGATTTATTCGACTCATGTAATCAAGTTGTATTTCAATGTTATTTTCCCGTCCTTTATTTGAATGATCACATTCTACCTTTCATGTTTTTTATCAGTAAAGATAGCAGTGTTTCTATTCCAACTGGACATCTAGCTACTAGATCTTTCGCGCACTTCTCCGTAATAGTTCGGCGTAATCATCCTAGCTTTTCAGTAACGATTTGACTACACGTAAACATACTTCTGTTTAAGTTGTTCAACGTCAAAAATATTTAGAAATGTCTTTCTCCTCTTTATTTGCATCTTTTTACTTTCTCGTATACAGAGAAAGTATGTAAGTCGTGCTGAACAAGTAACAGATATTTGACAATTTTTCACGGTTTTGCACCTCACTACTGTATTGTATACAGAATATAAACAATGCACTGAAATCGTACATAATTCTAAATCGTAATTAAAATAAACCGGGAGTAATCTCCCCTAAACTATCTCGAATATTCTTATATAACACTACGGGGGATGGCAAATCGGGATATAGACAATATTTATACTCCATTTTTATTTAGTTAAACTTTTTAAAATAGAATAGAATCTCGTAGAAAAAAAAGAATTGCGCACCAAGTGAACGCCAAACAATCTGAGTATAATAGTGTGGAATATTTTTAGTACTTTATAAATTCACATGCGTTTTTGAGAAATCGGAAATAGGGTAAATTACTACTTCCGGTCAACGGAAATTACCCAAAAGTTGAAAGATGGCAGAAAAGTAGATCTTTTTACTTATATGTGAAATTTCGTTCAATTTTATGAAACAGTACTCAAGTTATATCCTTTTAAATTTTTAAAGTAAAATAAGCTCTACTTCCGGTTACCGGAAATCGCTAAAAAGTCGACACAGAACTACACTTTTTATAAATTACTTATATAGGAAACTTCATCAACCTAGCTGTAACGGTACTCAAGTTATCGTGTTTACAGACAAACACACACACACACAAGCACACACACATACATACAGACATACGGACAGTATTGTAAAACTATGTTTTTCCGACTCAGGGAGGTGTAAAGGTGCACGATCACAATACTTTCTCTATACTTTGTATTCGAGAAAGTAAAAAATTGGTTTAAAAAAAACGCATAATAGTTGGAAATAATTATGTTGAATATTTTAAAAAACAAACATTTCCATTTTAGTTATAATTCTGACCAACACTTTCTTTGTTAACTTCACTGGACTCGGTGCGTTTTTGATCAGTCGTGTCAATTTTAGTGTGTATTGATTATGCGGGGTCAATTAGCTGTTCGTTGAGGATAAAATAGTTTAAAAATTGTATCACAATGAAGGCGAGCAAGTTGACGAGAATCCTTCGATCATGTTGTTGACATGGAATAAAAACGTGCTTTTTTAGATTTAGCAAAGAAATCAACCATAAAAATAATAAAAAATTAAAACTTAAGCATCAAAATAAATCAGAAATTTTATATTTTTAGAAGCAATGCTATTATAAAAGTTGCAAATCCAGAGAAATTGAAAATAATTTGTTGAGTTTAAGGCTACATTTCTATTTATTTTCATTAAGCCTAAATTATAACTGGATGTTTCACTTTCGTAAGACAAATATTGATTGGCTGTACAGGAACTCCGTAATAGATAACTATTTGTTTACAAAACTTTGCAGATAAAGTTTTAAATAACAATTCAAATTTAAACCCCATGACCTAGTTTTCCTTTTTTCGCTTACAATGCGTACAATACAATTTATGGCAGCCTATCGAATAGCAGGATGCCATTGTTTATGTCGCCATTACACGTGAAAACCAAATTGTTTTTGCTTTTTTTTTAATTTTTATTTAGTTACCGAAAATATTAAAACCATGAAATACAATCAATCTTTAGTAAAGTGCGAAAAAAAAACCAGACAGACAGGATTTTATAACCATATTAATTGTAACTACGCTGTGCTTGATTTTTGTTCTGTGTTCTTGATACGCCCAGGTAAGATATTCCATAAGAATTTTTTATTGGCTATTATCTGCAGTGTGTACTTGGTTCGATAGCGTTTGATTCTTTTTATTAATGGATTTGATTCCTATTGGTATTTGTAGTAGACCACAAATTATCTTTTTTTTTTCAGTTTACTTTAGTATTTACTAGTCTGGGGGTTGTGTTTTGTCATAATATTGTGTTAATAATTTTTGGTTATGTAATTTGATTGTTTAGATTTAGTTTAGAGTTGTACAGTTGATTAGAATTTAGGATTGTTTTTTATAAAGTTTGGTTCCATACTTGCTTTTCATTTGATAAAAGTTGTTTTTAGTTTATGATCGTTACAAATAAATCTTGAATAAATTTAGGTGTCACCCCTGAGCCGTGCTAGCTGTACTGACACCCGATAGACTGTTACCCCTGTAGGTAGAATATGTTACCCCTGTAGGTAGAATATGTTACCCCTGTAGGTAGAATATGTTACCGCTCACAAAGTGTTACCCTAACATGGGTCTCAGTTGAAGGCTAATATAAACTATGCACCAAATGTTGCCTGGAGGCAAGAAACTAATTATACACTTGACCGGAACCCACTTGGGTGTGAGACATGTTTTTATAAAGAATGATATACGATTGATTTTGTACTTTGCCAGTTTTAAATAGGAAATATTTAAAGGAAGCTGAACTTTACAAATTTAAATTAATGTCATTTGTTACACTCTTAGATAGATAAATACTTTACAAAATTAAATAATTCAATATTTGGCTACTTCGTGCCTGTATGTAATTAATCATTCAACCACAGGCAAATACATTTATGTAATTCATCATTCAACTACAGGCAAATACATTTGTGTCATTCATCATTCAATTACAGGCAAATACGTTTGTGTCATTCATCATTCAACTACAGGCAAAAAATGTGTGTCATTCATCATTCAACTAGAGGCAAATACATGTGTGTCATTCATCATTCAATTAAAGGCAAATACATTTGTGTCATTCATCATTCAACAACTATGGATCTAGTCTGAGAATACTAGGCTCAACAGCTCCAACACATCCCACTCTACACCCCCAACACATACCCACTCTACACCCCCAACACCCCCCCAACACATCCCACTCTACACCCCCAACACCCCCCCCCCCCAACACATCCCACTCTACACCCCCAACACCCCCCCCAACACATCCCACTCTACACCCCCAACACCCCCCCCAACACATCCCACTCTACACCCCCAACACCCCCCCCCCCCAACACATCCCACTCTACACCCCCAACACCCCCCCCAACACATTCCACTCTACACCCCGAACACCCCCCCCCCCCAACACATCCCACTCTACACCCCCAACACCCCCCCCCCCCCAACACATCCCAGTCTACAGCTCCCCATCTATTGCAGCAGCTGCAGCCATCACGGCTGTTGCCTCCTCTGCCTTGGTGTCCTCCGCCATCTTGCTGTAGTTGACCGTTGACATCCGGTTGCCTTCTCGCTTGAGTTGCTCCACTTGATCGTGTTTTGTTCGTTTGAAAAACCCACACTGAAGAATATTGAACAATACAATTATAAACCCACACTGAGGAAATATTGAACAATACAATATATAAAGGAAAACTGAGGAAATATTGTACGATTAAACTTAAAATAATCCGGGAGTGATTTCCCCTAAACTTTCTCGAATATTCTTATATAAAACAACAGGGGATGGGAACTCGGGATATAGTTATGATTTTTAATCCATTTTAAATACTTAAACTTTTAAAAATAGAATAGAATCTCATAGAAAAAAGAATTGCGCACCAAGCGAACGCCAAATAAAGATGTTTATAATAGTGCGCAATATTTTTAGTACTTTATAAATTTACATGCGTTTTTTGAGAAATCGGAAATAGCGAAAATTATTACTTTCAGTCAATGAAAATGACTCAAAATTTTATAGAAGGCAGAGAATTAGATCTTTTACTTACTTGTGAAATTTCAATTATCTATATGAAATAGTACTCAAGTTATAGGCTTTTGAAAAATTCAAAGTAGAAAAAGTAACACTGCCGCTTATTGGAAATCGCTCAAAAGTTGATACGGATGTACGATTTTGATAAAATACTTATATATGAAATTTCATCAACCTAGCTGTAACGGTACTCAAGTTATCGTGTTTACACACAGACACACAGACATACGGACAGAATGGGACAATCCAGTTTTTCCGACTCCATTACGCATAAAACGCCAAAATTTTGATATATCTGGATTTAAAATTTTTGCCCGATTAATATAAGTCCTCTACATCCCGGATGTGATGAAGGACTGAGGAGTAAAACGGTGAAAACTGTCCAAATTTAATGTGATTTTTGTGCACGATTACAAGACTTTCTCTATACTTCATATATACGAGAAAGTAGAAAAGCTAAATTTAAAACATTAAAATCAAGAAATATCATACGGTTTTAATACATAAATTTGGAAAACGTCCCCCCCCCCCCAAATAAAAAAAGCAACTGATCCTGGCCACCAAGCACTTGATCCAATTACCTTCCACAAGAGCAGTACAATCAAAGTGATCAGGACTAGACCCGCCGCTATACAGCCGATAATGATCCAGATGTTAATTTTTCCACCTGTCTGTACCAGGTGGAACTTGGTGGATGTCTGGGTGGAAGAAAGAAAGATTTTGTAACAAAATGAAAGGATGTGGGTGGAAGAAGTTAATTTTAAAATCTCTTTTGTGAGTTGTGACAAATCTTGTAGCAGCGAAAGGGGAGAAAACCGAATGAATCAAGCGACCACTCGATCAGCCTCTTGACAAAGGTCAACACGGCCCGCTGGTTTCCGATGGTGTTAAGAAATGGCTGGTGACTGTTTTTATGAGATAAGAAGATCCGGGTTTAAAGCAAAAATGTTAGTCGAATGACAAAAAAAAAAAAAAAAAAAAAAAAAAGACGAATACAATTAAATATAAAAAAATCTTCAAATGATAAGTTTTAAATGCGATTTGAAATTGAAGAAAATAACTAAAAATTTGCTATCGTTGATAAAATATTGGGTCTGTCACTTATGAGATCTCATATATTTTGGCAACAAAAGTTTTTATTAAAGAAAGCAAGCCTTTTCTTTTATTGTTTATATTATGTGCAAGAAACGCTCGGAAATTGATGAAAATACTGATTCGAAGGTTGGAAGGGCTTCTCCCCGGCTATAGAGTATGGTAGGGCTCTAGTAGAGTGTGGTAGGGCTCTAGTATAGTGTGGTAAGGCTCTAGTAGAGTGTGGAAAGGCTCTAGTAGAGTGTGGAAAGGCTCTAGTAGAGTGGTAAGCCTCTAGTAGAGTGTGGTATGGCTCTAGTAGAGTGTGGTAAGGCTCTAGTAGAGTGTGGTTGGGCTCTAGTAGAGTGTGGTAAGGCTCTAGAAGAGTGTGGTAGGGCTCTAGTAGACTGGCCCCGAGATCGCCACATGACGCCCCCGACACTTGGGCGCAGGGGCGGATTAAGCTTGCACGGGGCCCCTGGCTGAAAAACATTTATGGCCCCAATATGTTTATATATATACGCCTATAGATATATTTATCTAGGTATATTTATAAATAAATAAATTTAAATATATATATATATATATATATATATATATATATATATATATATATATATATATATATATATATATATATATATATATATATATATATAAAATTAGCCGGCTGGTAGTGTGTCAGTCCTTTCCGTCATAAAATGTTCACTGATATTAAATTGGCAAGAGAGTTGAAATACGCTTGGTTTTGAATCATAGAGCTATCTTAGTATTTATCTTGGGACTGAATATTGTAAATCTATACAAACTTATGATAAATAAGCGAGTCATAATCCATTCGAAAATGAAGAATTAACTAAAGAAGCAGGATTTCAAGAGATATGTTAAGTTTGTATGATGTTAGTTTATGTGATCCGTCCACTTAACACACGCAGATCTGACAATGTAGGCTAGGCCTAGTCTGATGTAATTTACTATCTGGTTGTGTTTTATGAGCGAGGTCAATCAAAAACTAATTTTTTTAGTCCAGTGTCACACGTTTTATTATTTGAAGGGCAAAAAGTGAAAATTAGAGAGCCCCTAAAATTTGGGGACGAGCTAAGGCCTCACGACTTTCTGTACTCTTAAGATAAACCCCACCATGTTGCTAACACTTGGCGTCCAGATTTGGGTTTAATTATTGTTGATTAGGCACACACAACATCGCTACTATCCGACCTGTCACTTCCAAAAACACACACTCAAAACACAATTCTTTCCTTACAAAAACGTTGTGTTTTCGAAAGATGCAGTCAGCCGGATCAGTAGGTCTATACGATTTTCTATTTTCTTGGGGCTATAGGGCTAAAGGGTATGGCCTATCAGTAGCTGGTCTTTACTTGTTAACATTTAGATGGATAAGTCAAAAACAAACGTGTAGTAAAACTTGTTTTTTATTTTGTTTTGATAAGATTCAGTTTTTTCTGACACCCGCTGATGAACCCATTTACGTGCCAGAAAAAGTATTTCTATTATTTAAGATGAGTCGCTTTAAGTAAACAGTTTCCGTGGGGAAAGCGATGACAGCTACTGTAAACACTAGAAAGGAACATTTTGAAGAGGGATTTTTAATGGCATTTGTTTAAAAAATAGCTTGCATTTTAGACAATACAACAATGAATTAACTAACAGAAATAAACATCTGTAGAAATAAAAATGGGTTATTGGGGTGAATTTGGGGGCCCCTTAAAATGCCGCTTTTATGAATGCTTGCTAATGAGATTTAATAAACAGTGTAGACCCTATGCATAAAATGTGTGCTTTATTTTAAGATTACTTCTTTACTACACAATCTGGCGTTATCTGACGAAATGACTTTCAAATTCCTATCTTACTATTTTTAAGAGTCGTCTTAGTCGTGGGCCCTAAACGTTTTGGTTTAAATTCTGCGGCTGTTTGTGATATTTAAAAAAAAAATCTAAAATCAACTTATTTTATTAACATAAACGAACGCTGGTCCGGACTATGTTATTTTAGGGATCGTCAGCTTAATGTAAACAGCGTCTGAGTAGGAGGTGATGTCAGCTTGTATTTCTACTAAAGTGTGTGCACGTGTTTGATATTTTGAAAAATAAATGGAACAAAAAATGTGATTTATGCATTAAAATATTTATTTTTATACTAAAAACAACAATTAAATTGTCAAGTGAAATGTACTATGGTTTGTAAGTGAAAATTTGGGGGCCTCTAAACATCGGAGGCCCTTGACTGCAGTCCCTCTAGCCCCCTCCCCCCCCCCCCCCCCACCTTTAATCCACCACTGCTTGGGCGGGCAACGAGCAGTGTTCTACTAACCAACAAAGCACCCTCTGGGGCGTCTGCGCCACAACAAGTAGGATGAAAAAATAGAGCGCAGGCTTTGTTAATATTTTAATAATTAATTTTATATAACACATCATGTAATAATTAAAGGAGTTGTTTGAGAATGGATTTAAAATATTGAACAAACAATTGCAAGTGATCGAAGTGAATCCAACCTAAAGTTGAAGTAACTTGTGTCAAGCACTGAAAGACTTACATGCGTACATCTTGTAACTTGTGTCAAGCACTGAAAGACTTACATGCGTACATCTTGTAACTTGTGTCAAGCACTGAAAGACTTACATGTGTCCATCTTTTGCTAGGCCACACCCTCATCAGTGGCTCTTGTGGTTGCACGACCTCGACAGTTGTTAGAAACTCCATTGTTGTGTAATCCTGAAATCAAGAGCATGTATGTCAAACATTGTCTGTGTTAGCCCAGTTATGAGGGAGTTACCGTAATAAACCATATGACAAGATGTACTGATCAGTGTGAGAAGTTCGCTGATGATACTTCATTACATTTCTTTGCAGACAATGCTGAGTCACTCAGTTACAAACTTCAAACATGTGCCAATCAGCTTGCTACTTGGACACAATTTAACAAAATGAAACTTCACCACGATAAAACCAAGTCAATGATTATTACAGCTCATCAGAGTTCGTCTTCAATCCACCTCATTACGCATTACTATAGACAATACAAACATTGAACAGGTTAACAGTTACAAATGCCAAGGATTGGTTATAGATCACAACCTCACTTGGTCCGATCATATCCATCTTCTAAGAATGTCCTTATTAAAGACAACTTTCCAATTAGCAAGGATAAAGAACTTTCTGGACTATAGGAGCAGGCTAGTTTTTTATGAAGCTTTTATTCAATCTAGGTTGGATTTTGCTTCTGTAGTTTGGAGCGGGAGCGGCAGCTTTATAACTAAGCAGCGTCCTCTACTATCACTACAAAAAGGGCTATAGAACTGGTTACTGGCTTGTCTAGTAGCCTTGATTCTTTTTTTACAACTAATATACTTCCATTAAATAAAAAGATAACATATACTAAACCATTTTTTTATATAAAATATTCCACAAACAGCCCTCTCTTACTTATCAAACCTATTTTCTTTTAACATAAAATTAAATCGTCGTCTTAATTTACCGATCCCATATACAACTTTTTTCCAAATACATAGCTTCGCCTACTCTGGTTCTAATTTGTGGAACAATCTTCCTAACAAAATAAAACTATCTAGATCTGAAAATATATTCAAATCTAAACTAAAACAAAAATTATTTAATGGCCTCTCTAACTGACTCATTGAAACATTTCTCATTCATCCATTATATTCTTTTTTTAAAAATCTCATCTTGTATTATAACTATGTAATATTATTTCTTTACGAGAAAAATGGCCCGTTGAGGAAGGATACAACGGGCGCTAGGTTGATAGTGTTTTCTATTTTCTCTAAACTAAAACCAAAACCAAAATCACCACCTTAATTCAATTTTACCGGAAACGAAAAATGACATTAAAAACGGATTTTTATCCTGAATCGGTACTTTAATTTATACAAAATATAGTCATGGGCATATCCCTAAACCATGCACCTAATCTCATTCATGACAAAAGTCGCATTTAGAGTTTCTTTCGTGCAACTCTACTTGGGAGGAGGGGGCTCGGCCCCCCCCCCCACACACACCCTAAAACATGTCTACCGTCCCATTCAACAAAATATAATTATATATTTTTTCCAGTGTCCGCCCCTCCTAGAAAATTCTACCCCCGCCCCACAAAAAATTCAAATACCCCCACCCCTCGCCGGGGAGGAAAGAGTCTGAAAGAAACACTGGTCGCATTTGTAGATCATACAAACTAAAGGAAGAACCTGGGTGGGGCTTCGCCCTTACCGGAAGAGATGCCTGAAAAAACTGTGCACGCTAAACACTTTTTAGATTAGAAAAAGTTCTTTCCTGCGGGGAGGAAAAAGTCTGAAAGAAACACTGGTGTTGCGCTTAGCCACTACCCGAAGAATTGCATGAAAAAAAACTGCAAGCAAACCACGTTTTAGATTAGACACATTAATTAGGCGGTAATTTTATTATAGAGTATCGATGAAGAAATTTCTTTGGAGCTGGGGGGGGGGGGGGGGGCGGGCTTAGACGTTCTTTCGCGAGGGTGGGGCTTCGCCCCTACCCGAAGAATTGTATGAAAGAAACTCTTCACGCAAACCACTTTTAAGATAAAACAAAATAAGCTTTTTAATTCAATGTTTACTCGAGAATCAATGACGTCACATTACTGTGTGCACTCTCCAAGCTTGATACTATTTTCTACTATATGCTAAATTTGACGTCATATTTCGCTTCCGTTTTACTGTGAAAGTTTTTAAATTGCTTGTGATTTCTCTATAGCGTTCTTGTCTGATACATAGATAGATAGACAGACAGCGAAACTATTATATAGAATTCCACATTTTTACAAACTTTTATTTAACTCACTTCCTCTGTCGTCAGTCGACAGTCTGTCTGTCGTCAGTCTAGATCGAAACGCAGGAGTGAAAATTCGGACACTTCTACTTGACCGATACGATTCAAATTTGACACGTGGGTCAAGACATGAAGACAATGCAATCTGAAATTACATTTGACTTAATTGGATGCCTAATTAATTTTTTATGAATTAATTAAAATTTGGACCGAATTAGTAGGCATGTCTATCCAACCACACCACACGCGTCATCACGTTCAATAGACGTGCAATGGTTTTTAGTCATGTAACACTATTGTAAATAAAACATGTAAAGTACTGAAAAAAAAATTCATAAAAAAAAAAACGTTTTAATTACAAGCTTTTAAGTACTAATGCACTAAAAAGTAGAAAATAAATTATATACTACTATTTAAATAACTATAAAGAAAAGCGTGGGTCTCTTCCTAAACATTAGTAAAGGTATCAAATAGATACTAAAGTGGCCCACGCTTTTCTTTATAGTTATTTAAATAGTAGTATATAATTTATTTTCTACTTTTTAGTACATTAGTTCTTAAAAGCTTGTTATTAAAACGTTTTTTATGAATTTTTTTAGTGCTTTGCTACTGCTATGTCGTTACTATGCTATTGCTTTTTTTAAATGCTGTTAATAAATTGTTGTTTTTATTTGTTTATTTAAAAACGGCCAATTTGAAAAAAGGCCTCCGTGCGTAAAATTGTTACCGTAATTGAATAAATTGAAATCGTTTTACCTTGGGCAGTGGGATATTGGCCCTGTTGATGGTGAGTGAAATGTTGACGACATTGTAGCTTTTAGGTTGAAGGTTGGAGCCGGTGACGCAGACAAAAACTGTGCACAGTTCAGCATCTCTTCCACAATTCTTTAGATACAAATTTTTTATAACTCGAATGTTTCTCTTGCAGAAATGCACATGTGTTAATTAGATACACAAATGTTCTTTTTAGAGGTACAAATGTGTTAATTAGAGATACAAAAGTGTTTAATAGAGGTAAAAATGTGTTTACATGATGTACAAATGTGTTAATTAGAGATACAAAATTGTTTATCAGAGGTGCACATGTATCAATCAGTCAGCTTCTATTGTCCCATGAAGTACGTATTACACGACTGGGTTTTAGATTGGAGCTGACAATTTTCAAAACAGGTCAAAACTCTGTTTTAATGACTGTTAAACCTAACAGGCAAAACTTTGTTTTAATTTAAACTGTCATTGTCTACATTTGTGTTAATTTGTATTGTGAATGTCTGCACCTATGTGACCTACTCACCACTGAATATATTTTCTCTTCGACTTTCTTGGCCGATCGTTTCTTTCTATTTATAAGGTCGGAGTCTATGGTGGTAGTAGCTGTAGAAAAAAAAACATAGAGCTGTAAAACAAGGAGCTGTAAAACATAAAGCTGTAAAACATGGAGCTGTAAAACATGGAGCTGTAAAACATGGAGCTGTAAAACAAGGAGCTGTAAAACATGGAGCTGTAAAACATGGAGCTGTAAAACATGGAGCTTTAAAACATGGAGCTGTAAAACATGGAGCTGTAAAACATGGAGAGGTACAAATAAACAAGAGGACTGTAAAATGTCTATGGGAGCTGCTAATACCTACAACTATAAAAAAGAATGAGAGCTGAGAAAACTCTAGTACATTTCTACACGCTTTTATTAATAGATCGCGACGTCTGTTTGATTTGTTTGTTTGTGTGATTGTTTGTGGGATTGTAAATCTTGTAACTCAATTTTAACCCATTTCTAATGCAGCGATTTTGTTCAAACATTCCATATACGGTCCACTTCAATAACATTACAAGTCTATCTATTTTAATTTAATCAGATGTTTAATTTGTAATTAAAATTTAATATTTAACGGTTTCGAAACTAGAGGAGACAACAAAATTAAACCAAAAAGATTACTATATTCAACAACAGAAGGGGAGATAACTAGCTAGACGCTGTCACCCGACCACTCTGGTGAGCTTTGGTTCACAGAGAATGTTTACAATCGTAGAGCCGGGTCGAAATAGTGAAAGTTGTAAGGTGCAGACAATTAAGTTATAGAACGATTTTAAGCTAAAGAGTGGTAATAAAATGAAGAACTCGCTGTCGTCTGTAAAATATGGTCACGGACGGCTGCTTTCACGGGACAGATAATCGTCTTTTAGATATCACGATCCACTGATGGTGTTTTAAGTAAATATTTTTAGTCATGTCGACTTTATAAAACAAATATAAAAAAACCTTTTAAATGCTTTTAAATGCTTTTAAATGCACTGAAAATAAGAAAATATAACTAATTTATTTTCTGTTAATAAAAGCTTTTGTCGCTAAAGTATGTAAAAGGTCTCATGTGCGACCAAAGATTGTAGTTTAAAAAGTAAACTTATAAATAAATAAACCGGGGGTGATCTCCCCACAACTTTCTCGAATATTCTTATATAACTTGGAATATAGACATGGTTTTTAATTACTTAAACTTTTAAAAATAGAATAGAATCTTATAGAAAAAAGAATTGCGCACCAAGCGAACGCCAAAACAAAATGTGCATAATAGTGCGCAATATTATTAGTACTTTATAAATTTACATGCGTTTTTTTAGAGAAATAGGAATTATTTTTTTTGCACAAGACTTTCTCTATACTTCGCATATACGAGAAAGTAAAAAAACAACGAAAGGTAAAAAATAAAAAAATAAAAATAATTTAAAAAAATAATTAAAAAAAAAAATATTAAAAAAAAAAAAGATTTTTCTTCTTCTTTATTTCAGTGCATTTAATTTTTTTGTGCTATAAACTATTTTTAATAGTTTTTTTTAATCAGTTCACAATATCGATTTTTTTTTGTTTGTTTGATGGTTGTGGCACTATTAAAATAAAAATTGTAAGCAACTTCAAATGCAGTGATTTTGTTCAAACCTAGATTAGAATTAGATCGACAATGTGTCATTAACTTTTTAAATTTCTATAGATTGTAACAAAAGAGGAAATAGCAGCAAGGGTGGGGGATAAGAAGTGAGAGACGACTGTCTTTTGCAGATTTCGAAATTGCGATCACGTTTTAAAAACGAATGACTAAATAGGAGGAAATGGCAGTGGTCAGACTTAATAGTGGCGGTCAGGGTTTATTGTCGTGGTTAGGGTTTATTGTCGTGGTCAGGGTTTATTTTGGTTGTCTGGGATTTTTGTGGTTGTCAATTTTTGTAGTGGTCAGGATCTACTGAGATCAGGGTTTATTGAGGTGGTCAGGATTTATTGAGGTCAGGGTTTATTTAAGTCAGAGTTTATTGAGGTGGTCAGGGTATATTGAGGTCAGTCTTTATTTTAATTGTCAGGGTTTATTTAGGTCAGGGTTTGTTTAGGTCAGGGTTTATAGTTGAGATGTGTACGTGATAGTTCTGGTCAGGACCTGGGTCGGATAAAAAAAAGTCTTTACTTGTTTCTGTGGTCCCATACGTCGTGTTCAAGTTTGCTGTCCTTTCTTCAACTGACGGGGTAGTTGACATCGTTGATGAAGCTGTTGAACTTGGGGAGACGGGTTGAAACTTTGATTGTGCGGGACAGTTTAGAACCTTACCATCAGATGTAGACAGCTGGAACAAAAATGTCGAGTTCAAATGTGAGCATTGAATTGAATGCAGCCAAAACTAGATCAGACATCTTGAGCATTGAATTGAATGCAACCAACACTAGATCAGACAACTTGAGCATTGAATTGAATGCAACCAAAACTAGATCAGACAACTTGAGCATTGAATTGAATGCAACCAAAACTAAATCAGAAAACTTGAGCATTGAATTGAATGCAACCAAAACTAGATCAGACAACTTGAACATTGAATTGAATGCAACCAACACTAGATCAGGCAACTAATGCAAGAGTCAACTGTTGCGATAAACAAGTGTCTAATTAGTATATTGACTGACATCTCACTGTCGAGGTCAAGGTTAGGTTTAGAGGACTGACCTTGACATCTGCGTATAGAACAAACTGCGACTCGTCCTGCAGGTAGACAGGGACGCTGACCTTGACCTCTGTAGGTGGCAAGAAGCTGGGGCCGTGATTGGTCAGAAGAACCTTGTGAGTGAGGTTTAGGGGGCGCGCTATGAGACTGTAGTCCGTCCTATCAGGCCCGTGGGTCGGGGCAACTCGCTTGGCTTCATACACCGTGTACTCAGCCGGCGATGAGGTGCTGGAAATATTTGGAGACATTTAGAACTCTTTTCTTCTCGCTCTTCATTGTAATATAGATCGGATTTTTTTCAACACAATTAACAATTACGTGTCAACGTGTTATGCGCTATATGGCATGTTGACCATAGCTTCAACAGACTTTTCTTTGAGGGGGGGGGGGGGGTTCAATCATACGCTCTTCCCACCCGACCAAGCCGTCCCTACAAACGTGGCATTGTGATACTTTAAAGGAATCTTCAAAACTCGAAGGTTGGATAAATGTTGAAAAATATAATTTTACAATTTCAACCTTAATCTAAGTCTAATATTTAAATGATCTTAAAAATCTTAAAAATGTGAAACTAATCCAAAAACAAGCTAACGATTGTTTGGACAGGGATCCGGACAAAAGGCCGACATCTAAAAGGCCAACATCCGAAAGGCCGACAAGATAAAATGACACGATTTATAAAACAACAAACTGCAATACAGACATGTTTATTTAAAAAAAATATTTAAAAACCAGTTACAAAATGATAAAAATAAAGCACAACACAGAAAAAATAGGGTCTAGTATGATAAATTTTATGCTAAGGCACGTAAAAATTCAAGTCTACTACTGTTTTCACGTTCTGCAATGAAATTTGCTATTCTGTCATCTTTCAGTAAATATTGTTTTTGTTTTTATCTGGCTCACCAAGCAAAATTTATTTCCGTCTCAACTTTCACTCTTCCTTGTTGTTGTCAGACTATCACAATCACAACTCAATCAATCAATTCAACAAATATGGTCTAAAAAAAATTTTACGCAATCCGCAATGGACGAAACTGGAAGATAATTCAAATTTTGTTGGTATTTAAAATGTAGTCCAGTCAATGTCTGTCGGCCTTACGGTCAGTCGGCTTTTTGGCCGTCTGCCTTTGGTCCGTGTCGGCCTTGTGTTTTGTCGGTGTTTTTAATGTCGGCCTTTTGTGCCAGACCAGTTTAGAAGTGTCTATTGTCGTCTCCCGTGCGAAATATTCTCAGGATAAGATTATAAAATTATTACAAGATAACAAGATTATAAATTCTTGTGTTTTACTTTCTCCTATACAAAGTATAGTGAAAGAGTTGTAATCGTGCACAAAAATCACAAGAAAATTTTGACACTTTTCACCGTTTTACACCACAATCATATTATATCAACAGACTCAGACATACGGTCAGTATAGCTAAGCCCAGTTTTTCCGACCCGATTACACATAAAACGCCGAAATTTTGATAAATCTGCATTTGTAATTAAAATAAGTCTCCTGTACTCCGTATGATGAGGTACTGAGATGAAAAATGAAGAAAACTTTTTATGTGATTTTTGTGCATGTTTACAATACTTCCTCTATACTCTGTATACGAGAAAATGAAAAATTCGCACATACAATGATGTTTATTTTTATGTGAGATTTCACCAAGAAGGTCATCTTCTGGTATAACATAAGATGATAGTACCTCCTCTTTAACTGGTATAACATAAGATGATAGTACCTCCTCTATACTTGTTCTAACATAAGATGATAGTACCTCCTCTTTAACTGGTATAACATAAGATGATAGTACCTCCTCTTTAACTGGTATAACATAAGATGATAGTACCTCCTCTTTAACTGGTATAACATAAGATGATAGAACCTCCTCTTTAACTGGTATAACATAAGATGATAGTACCTCCTCTTTAACTGGTATAACATAAGATGATAAAACCTCCTCTATACTTGTTCTAACATAAGATGATAGTACCTCCTCTTTAACTGGTATAACATAAGATGATAGTACCTCCTCTTTAACTGGTATAACATAAGATGATAGTACCTCCTCTATACTTGTTCTAACATAAGATGATAGTACCTCCTCTTTAACTGGTATAACATAAGATGATAAAACCTCCTCTATACTTGTTCTAACATAAGATGATAGTACCTCCTCTTTAACTGGTATAACATAAGATGATAGTACCTCCTCTTTAACTGGTATAACATAAGATGATAGTACCTCCTCTATACTTGTTCTAACATAAGATGATAGTACCTCCTCTTTAACTGGTATAACATAAGATGATAGTACCTCCTCTATACTTGTTCTAACATAAGATGATAGTACCTCCTCTTTAACTGGTATAACATAAGATGATAAAACCTCCTCTTTAACTGGTATAACATAAGATGATAGTACCTCCTCTTTAACTGGTATAACATAAGATGATAAAACCTCCTCTATACTTGGTCTAACATAAGATGATAGTACCTCCTCTATACTTGGTCTAACATAAGATGATAGTACCTCCTCTTTAACTGGTATAACATAAGATGATAAAACCTCCTCTATACTTGGTCTAACATAAGATGATAGTACCTCCTCTATACTTGGTCTAACATAAGATGATAGTACCTCCTCTATACTTGGTCTAACATAAGATGATAGTACCTCCTCTTTAACTGGTCTAACATAAGATGATAAAACCTCCTCTATACTTGGTCAACCAGAAAGAAAAAAATAGAACCTGTCTAGAGAGATGTCGCTCACTATTTCCACGTCTATTTTTAGCAGAGCCACATTGTCCAGGGGAAACAACTCTGGGTTGTTCTTGCTATCTTTTGGCATGACGGATGTGTTGACTTGAATGAATTTTTGTTTCATGTCAATGTTTTCAGTGTCGAAGGCCAAAAGAAAGAAAACTTTGTTGTGTTTCTCTAGAGGCTTGTAGTTGTTGCAGTAGGCCTAGTGACAAAAGAAAGAAAAATTTTGTTGTTTTCTAGAGGCTTGTGCGAGATTTTTAGTGACGTCTTTGTGCAAGTTAATGAGTGACGTCTTTGTGCGAGATGTTGAGTGACGTCTTTGTGCGAGATGTTTAGTGACGTCTTTGTGCGAGTTGTTGAGTGACGTCTTTGTGCGAAATGTTTAGTGACGTCTTTGTGCGAGATGTTTAGTGAGGTCTTTGTGCGAGATGTTTAGTGAATTTTTTGTGCAAGATTTTGGGTGACGTTTGTGCGAGATGTTGAGTGACGTCTTTGTGCGAGATGTTGAGTGACGTCTGTGTGCGAGATGTTGAGTGACGTCTTTGTGCGAGTTGTTGAGTGACGTCTTTGTGCGAGATGTTGAGTGACGTCTTTGTGCGAGATGTTTAGTGACGTCTTTGTGCGAGTTGTTGAGTGACGTCTTTGTGCGAAATGTTTAGTGACGTCTTTGTGCGAGATGTTTAGTGAGGTCTTTGTGCGAGATGTTTAGTGACGTCTTTGTGCGAGTTGTTGAGTGACGTCTTTGTGCGAGATGTTGAGTGACGTCTTTGTGCGAGATGTTTAGTGACGTCTTTGTGCGAGTTGTTGAGTGACGTCTTTGTGCGAAATGTTTAGTGACGTCTTTGTGCGAGATGTTTAGTGAGGTCTTTGTGCGAGATGTTTAGTGAATTTTTTGTGCAAGATTTTGGGTGACGTTTGTGCAAGATGTTGAGTGACGTCTTTGTGCGAGATGTTGAGTGACGTCTGTGTGCGAGATGTTGAGTGACGTCTTTGTGCGAGTTGTTGAGTGACGTCTTTGTGCGAGATGTTTAGTGACGTCTTTGTGCGAGATGTTTAGTGACGTCTTTGTGCGAGATGTTGAGTGACGTCTTTGTGCGAGTTGTTGAGTAACATCTTTGTGCGAGGTGTTGAGTGACGTCTTTGTGCGAGATGTTTAGTGACGTATTTGTGCGAGATGTTTAGTGACGTCTTTGTGCGAGATGTTTAGTGACGTCTTTGTGCGAGATGTTTAGTGACGTCTTTGTGCGAGATGTTGAGTGACGTCTTTGTGCGAGTTGTTGAGTAACATCTTTGTGCGAGATGTTGAGTGACGTCTTTGTGCGAGATGTTTAGTGACGTCTTTGTGCGAGATGTTTAGTGACGTCTTTGTGCGAGATGTTTAGTGACGTCTTTGTGCGAGATGTTTAGTGACGTCTTTGTGCGAGATGTTGAGTGACGTCTTTGTGCGAGTTGTTGAGTAACATCTTTGTGCGAGATGTTGAGTGACGTCTTTGTGCGAGATGTTTAGTGACGTCTTTGTGCGAGATGTTTAGTGACGTATTTGTGCGAGATGTTTAGTGACGTCTTTGTGCGAGATGTTGAGTGACGTCTTTGTGCGAGATGTTTAGTGACGTCTTTGTGCGAGATGTTTAGTGACGTCTTTGTGCGAGATGTTGAGTGACGTCTTTGTGCGAGATGTTGAGTGACGTCTTTGTGCGAGATGTTTAGTGACGTCTTTGTGCGAGATGTTTAGTGACGTCTTTGTGCGAGATGTTTAGTGACGTCTTTGTGCGAGATGTTTAGTGACGTCTTTGTGCGAGATATTTAGTGACGTCTTTGTGCGAGATGTTGAGTGACGTCTTTGTGCGAGATGTTGAGTGACGTCTTTGTGCGAGATGTTGAGTGACGTCTTTGTGCGAGATGTTGAGTGACGTCTTTGTGCGAGATGTTGAGTGACGTCTTTGTGCGAGATGTTTAGTGACGTCTTTGTGCGAGATGTTTAGTGACGTCTTTGTGCGAGATGTTGAGTGACGTCTTTGTGCGAGATGTTTAGTGACGTCTTTGTGCGAGATGTTTAGTGACGTCTTTGTGCGAGATGTTTAGTGACGTCTTTGTGCGAGATGTTTAGTGACGTCTTTGTGCGAGATGTTTAGTGAATTTTTTGTGCGAGATGTTTAGTGACGTCTTTGTGCAAGATTTTGGATGACGTCTTTGTGCGAGATGTTGAGTGACGTCAATTCTGATGAGCAGGTCACCTGTGTTGTTCCCTGACTTGAGTCGGGGTCGCCACTAGGGTCGCCACTCGGGTCGGCCTGACAGCTTGAGTTGGACCTGATGAGGGTCAGCTGGTCACTGACCTTGACCTTGATCACAGTCCAGTAGGCGGTCTCGTTGGTGTTGGTCACCTCCACCTTGACCACAAGTTCCTAAAGACACAACAGTCCACTTTGTTACCTTCATAGTTCTTTGATTAAAACATTTCATTCTAGGGGAGACGATTTAAATTTAACCTTAATCCGACAATATCGTTTACCTTATTTGTCAATGAGCATTATCAGACTGAAAACTTTACCTTGGTGTAGTTGAGCACTAAGCTTCTGTACCCTGCAATGGGTGAAAATTCAAAATCGCTGTTAATTTTAAGGTCAACTTGACATTTTTCATCGTCACCACATTTCTTTTTAAAAGGAATCTGAAACAAAATGCAATATCGATTAAAGACCCGGTTAAGAAATACCAAGGTGAGTGAAGAATAAATATCCCATTGAAATTATCTCACGGACAACTATCTCGAGGAAAGAAATTATAATAAACCGGAAGTGATCTCCCCTAAACTTTCTCGAATATTCTTAAGTGAAACAACAGGGGATGGCAACTCGGAATATAGACATGATGTTTAATCCATTTTAAATACTTAAACTTTTTAAAATAGAAGAAAATCTCGTGGAAAAATAATTGCACACCAAGTGAACGCCAAATAGAGATGTGCATAATAGTGCGCAATATTATTAGTGCTTGATAAATTTACCTGCGTTTTTTGAGAAATTGGACATAGCGTAAATTACTACTTCCGGTCAACGGAAACTACTCAAAATTTGACAGAAGGTAGAGAATTAGATCATTTACTGACATGTGAAATTTTATTTATCTATCTGAAATAATACTCAAGTTATAGGCTTTTGAAAAATTCAAAGTAGGAAAAGTACCACTTTCGGTTATCAGAAATCGCTCAAAAGTTGACACGGATCTACGATTTTGATAAAATACTTATATATGAAATTTCATCAACCTAGCTGTAACGGTACTCAAGTAATCGTGTTTACACACACACAGACACACACACACACACACACAGACACACAGACATACGGACAAGATTGCAAAATTATGTTTTTCCGTATCAGTGAGGTGAAAATGTCGAGATATGTAAAAATCTCGATTTTTTTGCACGATTACAAGACTTTCTCTATACTTCGTATATACGAGAAAGTAATAAACCGGGAGTGATCTCCCCTAAACTTTCTCGAAATAGTGAAAGTTGTAAGGGGCAGACAATTAAGTTATAGAGCGATTTTAAGCTAAAGAGTGGTAATAAGATGAAGAACTCGCTGTCGTCTGTAAAATATGGTCACGGACGGCTGCTTTCACGGGACAGATAATCGTCTTTTAGATATCACGATCCACTGATGGTGTTTTAAGTAAATATTTTTAGTCATGACGACTTTATAAAACAAATATAAAATAAACCGGGAGTGATCTCCCCTAAACTTTCTCGAATATTCTTATATAAAATAACAGGGGATGGGAACTCGGGCTATAGACATGATTTTTAATCCATTTTAAATACTTAAAGTTTTTAAAATAGAAGTAAATCTCGTAGACAAAAGAATTGCACACCAAGTGAACGCGCAATGAAAAAGTGCATAATAGTGCGCAATATTATTAGTACTTTAAAAATTTACATTAGTTTTTTGAGAAATTGGATGTAGCGTAAATTACTACTTTCGGTCAACGGAAATTACTCAAAATTTAACAGAAGGTAGAGTATTAGATCTTTTACTTACATGTGAAATTTCATTTACGTATCTGAAACAGTACACAAGTTATAGGCTTTTGAAAAATTCAAAGTACAAAAAGTACCACTTCCGGTTATCGGAAATCGCTCAAAATACTTATATATGAAATTTCATCAATCTAGCTGTAACGGTACTCAAGTTATCGTGTTTACACACGGACACACACACAGACACACACAGAGACATACGGACAGAATTGCAAAGCCCAGATTTTCAGACTGCATTACGCATAAAACCTCTGAATTTTGATAAATCTGGATTGATAATTTTTGCCCGATTAAAATAAGTCCTCTATACGGATGTGATGAAGGACTGAGGTATAATACGGTGAAAATAGTTAAAATTTCAAGTGATTTTTGTGCACGATTACAATACTTTCTCTATACTTCGTATATACGAGAAAGTAAAAAAGGGGAAAATATAGGTTGAATAAACATTTTAAATGGTTATCATATTATAATTCGTGTATATTTGAATTATTAAGTAAACACTAGACTACCCGTCATCCTTTGGATAACTGTAGGTTTCGGGGGTCAATTGTTTATATAAGCAAATGCAGCATCTGGACAAATCTAACGATATTTGGGGGATCATTCGGCAATTTTTTTTATATAAATCTTATATAAGAAGAATTTTACTCGCGGTCATTTTTTAGCCCACTTCGAAGGCTTTGAGTGACCAACATTTTTTTATACGGCCTAGTCATCTATAGAATAGCATGCAAAAATTTAGCCAGATGTACACCCTAAAATATGTGTTGAAATTACCCTGTTTTTCTCATAAAATACAAAGATCATATAGTGAGTTTTTTATGACACCCAAAGGCATTCTTTTACTACCTCACAAAATATCAAGGGGGGGGGGGGGGGGGTCGTCCGGCAATATTTTTTCGTTATACAGCCCATATAAGGTGCCCCAAGGCAGGATCCTGCCAAATATGAAGCGATGCGGTGCCGGGAAGTGCCCTATCGGGCACCAGAGCACTTTGTTATATATATATATATATATATATATATATATATATATATATATATATATATATATATATATATATATATATATATATACATATATATATATATATACATATATATATATATATATATATATATATATATATATATATATATATATATATATATATATATATATATATATATATATATAAAATTAAAAATATATAAAAATAATATATAAAATTAAGGCCTGAAACTCACTCTAGATTTAGGTAGAGCTAGATCTAGATGTAGAATCTACTGCTGGCTTAACTTTATAAGTCTTAAGTCTAGTTAGATCAGGGGTTTCCAACCTTTTTTTAATCTAGAGCACATTCTAAAATATCGGTAGGGTGGCGGGCACCACCTATTTTAAATCGACAAACTCCTTCCAGAAGCGTAGCGACCCTTCCCGTCACCCGGGGACAAAACTTTCGATTTGCACCCCCCCCCCCTCAAATTTCCGATTTGCACCCCCCCTCAAACTTTCGATTTGCACCCCACCTTCCCCTCAAACTTTCGATTTCCATCCCCTTGAACCTTTCAATAATGTTTATGAAAAAATTCTGTCTCTGTCGAATAGTGAGAGGCGGGCACATAAGAATGGTTCGGCGGGCGCCATGCCGCCCGCGGGCACGAGTTGGGAACCCCTGCTTTACACAAACCTAACGCTAATAGTAATCTACAAATAATCCTTAACCTTAAACACTAAACCCTAAACACACTGTTAATCACAAACTAAACCTAAACTTTAAAATAAACCTAAACCTAAACCTAAACCTAAACCTAAACCTAAACCTAAACCTAAACCTAAACCTAAACCTAAACCTAAACCTAAACCTAAACCTAAACCTAAACCTACACCTAAACCTAAACCTAAACCTAAACCTAAACCTAAACCTTTACCTAAACCTAAACCCAAAAATAATCCTAAACCTAAACCTAAACCTAAACCTAAACCTAAACCTAAACCTAAACCTAAACCTAAACCTAAACCTAAACCTAAACCTAAACCTAAACCTAAACCTAAACCTAAACCTAAAAATAAACCTAAACCTAAACCTAAACCTAAACCTAAACCTAAACCTAAACCTAAACCTAAAACTAAACCTAAACCTAAACCTAAACCTAAACCTAAACCTAAACCTAAACCTAAACCTAAACCTAAACCTAAACCTAAACCTAAACCTAAAAATAAACCTAAACCTAAACTTAAACTTAAACCTAAACCTAAACCTAATCCTAAACCTAAACCAAACCAAAACCTAAATCCAAACCCAAACCCAAACCCAAACCCAAACACAATCACGAACAGGAACACGAACACGAACATGAACACGAACACGAACATGAACCGAAATAACATGACAAACTAAGAAGTGTACTTACGGCTCTGGAGACATTGTTTGCTCTTAGAGCGTCCAAGATGGGGTGAGGTGGTGAGATGAGCTCATAGACTGCTGTAATGACCACAGGGGTGAAGCTGTCCTGGTGGACCTGAGCCTGGGAACATTAGGACACAGGGGACATTAGGACACATGGACACATGAACATTAAGACACAGGGACATTAGGACACAGGGACATTAGGACACAGGGACATTAGGATACAGGGACATTAGGACACAGGGACAATAAGACACAGGGACAATAGTACACAGGGACAATAGGACACAGGGACATTAGGACACAGGGACAATAGGACACATGGACATTAGGACACAGGGACGTTAGGAAACAGGGACATTAGGACACAGGGACGTTAGGAAACAGGGACATTAGGACAAAGGGACATTAGGACAAAGGGACATTAATACACAGGGACATTAGGACACAGGGACTATTTTTGAAATGATGGCCTTATACTTTAAAGCCCCACAGCTATTACACCACACTCATATAATTATTATGTACTCAGTGGGTGGATTTTCATCCTGACATTGAGATCATCTCTCGTCCGATCTCCTTGTGTGTGACGTTGTATTCTGTGCAGTACTCCTTCAAGTCGAGAAACTCTACTCCACCTACCTCCCTGAGTGTGACGTTGTATTCTGTGCAGTACTACTTGAAGTCGAGAAACTCTACTCCACCTACCTCCCTGAGTGTGACGTTGTATTCTGTGCAGTACTCCTTCAAGTCGAGAAACTCTACTCCACCTACCTCCCTGAGTGTGACGTTGTATTCTGTGCAGTACTCCTTCAAGTCGAGAAACTCTACTCCACCTACCTCCCTGAGTGTGACGTTGTATTCTGTGCAGTACTCCTTCAAGTCGAGAAACTCTACTCCACCTACCTCCCTGAGTGTGACGTTGTATTCTGTGCAGTACTACTTGAAGTCGAGAAACTCTACTCCACCTACCTCCCTGAGTGTGACGTTGTATTCTGTGCAGTACTCCTTCAAGTCGAGAAACTCTACTCCACCTACCTCCCTGAGTGTGACGTTGTATTCTGTGCAGTACTCCTTCAAGTCGAGAAACTCTACTCCACCTACCTCCCTGAGTGTGACGTTGTATTCTGTGCAGTACTCCTTCAAGTCGAGAAACTCTACTCCACCTACCTCCATGAGTGTGACGTTGTATTCTGTGCAGTACTCCTTCAAGTCGAGAAACTCTACTCCACCTACCTCCCTGAGTGTGACGTTGTATTCTGTGCAGTACTCCTTCAAGTCGAGAAACTCTACTCCACCTACCTCCATGAGTGTGACGTTGTATTCTGTGCAGTACTCCTTCAAGTCGAGAAACTCTACTCCACCTACCTCCCTGAGTGTGACGTTGTATTCTGTGCAGTACTCCTTCAAGTCGAGAAACTCTACTCCACCTACCTCCATGAGTGTGACGTTGTATTCTGTGCAGTACTCCTTCAAGTCGAGAAACTCTACTCCACCTACCTCCATGAGTGTGACGTTGTATTCTGTGCAGTACTCCTTCAAGTCGAGAAACTCTACTCCACCTACCTCCATGAGTGTGACGTTGTATTCTGTGCAGTACTCCTTCAAGTCGAGAAACTCTACTCCACCTACCTCCATGAGTGTGACGTTGTATTCTGTGCAGTACTCCTTCAAGTCGAGAAACTCTACTCCACCTACCTCCCTGAGTGTGACGTTGTATTCTGTGCAGAACTCCTTCAAGTCGAGAAACTCTACTGCAATCAGCTTGTTAGCTTCCAGCTCAGAGCTGGAGGATTCGAACGTCGCCCGTCTGGAAGTCTGGCTTTTGATGTGGGTATCCAGGGAAAACTTCACGCTGAAATCTGAGGAGGCAAGAAAATATTACAAGTGACTTATGAGTGACGTAAGCCTATCTACAGCTGACTTATGACTGATGACCGACATACGATCACCTGACTTATGACTGATGACTGACATACGAACAGCTGATTTCTAACTGTTGACTGACATACGATCACCTGACTTATGACTGATGACTGACATACGATCACTTGACTTATGACTGATGACTGACATACGAACAGCTGACTTATGACTTATGACTGACATACGATCACCTGACTTATGACTGATGACTGACATAAGATCACCTGACTTATGACTGACTTACTCAAGAGTTCCTGTTTGACCCCCATCAGCTTGTAGGCCATACAAAAGGTCAGTTTGAAACACTTCTCGTTACCATGGCAACTGTTCTCTGTGTCCAACGGGTCTGGTACAACCAAAATCTTGGCAGTGACGTTCAGCACTGGCCTGGAGAAGATTGGTTGACCTGAGGTCAGGTGCTGGGGTCACACACAGACAGACACACAGACAGACATACACAAAGACACGCACACACACACACACACACGCACGCACATGCACACACGCACGCACATGCACACAGACAGACAGACTCAGACACACACACAGACATACACAAAGACACGCACACACACACACACACACGCACGCACATGCACACAGACAGACAGACTCAGACACACACACAGACATACACAAAGACACGCACACACACACACGCACGCACATGCACACAGACAGACAGACTCAGACACACACACAGACATACACAAAGACACGCACACACACACACACGCACGCACATGCACACAGACACATGCACACACAAACACACACACATACACGCACAAACATACACACACCATACACAAACACACATACACACGAACATACACACAAACACACGCATACACGCACACAAAAAGCGCACATTCATAAATGTATCAAACTCAAAGTTTTTTTCTGAGAAATTGGAAATGGAGTAAAGTCAACTTAAGTAAAGTCCACTTTAGTAAAGTCCACTTTCCATTTAGAATTAAACACTAAAAACTGGAGAGAAACCACGAGCGGATATCATGCAATGAACCTTGGTCCAGTTACCCAAACGATGCTAGGATTATTGTGATCACACTGACGCAAGTTCCACTTCCGGTCACCGGAAATCGTTCAAAAGTTGATGGTGAAATCTAGTTTACGTAGCTAAAACGGTACTAAAATATTCGGATTATAGGACTCTTAAAGTAGATGAAGTACGTAAATTGCTCGAAAGTTGATAGAAATATATTGACAAGATATTATACTGCTATATAAAACATCGGCGAACAAAAGAGAATGGTACTCAAGTTATCGTGTTCACACTGACACAACACAAACAGGCTCAGAGAGAAAGAGAGAGGGAGATAGAGAGGGAGAGAGACAGATAGAGAGAGAGAGAGAGAGAGAGAGAGAGAGAGAGAGAGAGAGAGAGAGAAAGAGAGAGTGAAGATTGCGCAACTAAGTTTTTCCGAGGCAGGAAGGTGATTTGACAGGTTCTCAATTTTAATGTTTTCCCCGATTACAAAACTTTCCCTTTTCTCGATTTCCAGAAAGTAAAAAGTGACTGCAGTCAACATTTGAATGAAGTGATACACGTGACTGGAGTTACCAGACGACTTAAGTCATCAGGGGACTCACGTAATCAAATGACTTAAGTCAAGTACCTGCAGCGTAAAATGACGACTGTGTTGTTGAAGACTGAACTGGCAGCCAGCACGGGATAGCTGATGACGTCAGAGCGCGACCTGCTGGCGGATATCGTGAAGCCAAAACCCTTCAGGGATAAACCCAGCTGGATGGGAAAATATGGGAAAACACAATGTTAAACCCAGCTGGATGGAAAAATATGGGAAAACACAATGTTAAACCCAGCTGGATGGAAAAATATGGGAAAACACAATGTTAAACCCAGCTCCATGTGAAAATATGGGAAAACACAATGTTAAACCCAGTTGTATGGGAAGATATGGGAAAACACAATGTTAAACCCAGCTGGATGGAAAAATATGGGAAAACACAATGTTAAACCCAGCTGGATGGAAAAATATGGGAAAACACAATGTTAAACCCAGCTGGATGGAAAAATATGAGAAAAACACAATTTTAAACCCAACTGGATGGGAAAATATGGGAAACCTCAATGTTAAACCCAGCTGGATGGGAAAATATGGGAAAACACAATGTTAAACCCAGCTGGATGGGAAAATATGGGAAAACACAATGTTAAACCCAGCTCCATGTGAAAATATGGGAAAACACAATGTTAAACCCAGTTGTATGGGAAGATATGGGAAAACACAATGTTAAACCCAGCTGGATGGGAAGATATGGGAAAACACAATGTTAAACCCAGCTGGATGGGAAGATATGGGAAAACACAATGTTAAACCCAGATCCATGTGAAAATATGGGAAAACACAATGTTAAACCCAGTTGTATGGGAAGATTTGGGAAAACACAATGTTAAACCCAGCTGGATGGAAAAATATGAGAAAAACACAATTTTAAATCCAACTGGATGGGGAAAATATGGGAAACCTCAATGTTAAACCCAGCTGGATGGGAAAATATGGGAAAACACAATGTTAAACCCAGCTGGATGGGAAAATATGGGAAAACACAATGTTAAACCCAGCTGGATGGAAAAATATGAGAAAAACACAATTTTAAACCCAACTGGATGGGAAAATATGGGAAACCTCAATGTTAAACCCAGCTGGATGGGAAAATATGGGAAAACACAATGTTAAACCCAGCTGGATGGGAAAATATGAGAAAAACACAATTTTAAACCCAACTGGATGGAAAAATATGGGAAACCTCAATGTTAAACCCAGCTGGATGGGAAAATATGGGAAAACACAATGTTAAACCCAGCTGGATGGGAAAATATGGGAAAACACAATGTTAAACCCAGCTGGATGGAAAAATATGAGAAAAACACAATTTTAAACCCAACTGGATGGGAAAATATGGGAAACCTCAATGTTAAACCCAGCTGGATCGGAAAATATGGGAAAACACAATGTTCAACCCAGCTGGATGGGAAAATATGGGAAAACACAATGTTAAACCCAGCTCCATGTGAAAATATGGGAAAACACAATGTTAAACCCAGTTGTATGGGAAGATATGGGAAAACACAATGTTAAACCCAGCTGGATGGGAAGATATGGGAAAACACATTGTTAAACCCAGCTCCATGTGAAAATATGGGAAAACACAATGTTAAACCCAGCTGGATGGGAAAATATAGAAAACACAATGTTAAACCCAGCTGGATGGGAAAATATGGGAAACCTCAATGTTAAACCCAGCTGGATGGGAAAATATGGGAAAACACAATGTTAAACCCAGCTGGATGGGAAAATATGGGAAAACACAATGTTAAACCCAGCTGGATGGAAAAATATGAGAAAAACACAATTTTAAACCCAACTGGATGGGAAAATATGGGAAACCTCAATGTTAAACCCAGCTGGATGGGAAAATATCGGAAACCTCAATGTTAAACCCAGCTGGATGGGAAAATATGGGAAACCTCAATGTTAAACCCAGCTGGATGGGAAAATATGGGAAAACACAATGTTAAACCCAGCTGGATGGGAAAATATGAGAAAAACACAATTTTAAACCCAACTGGATGGAAAAATATGGGAAACCTCAATGTTAAACCCAGCTGGATGGGAAAATATGGGAAAACACAATGTTAAACCCAGCTGGATGGGAAAATATGGGAAAACACAATGTTAAACCCAGCTGGATGGAACAATATGAGAAAAACACAATTTTAAACCCAACTGGATGGGAAAATATGGGAAACCTCAATGTTAAACCCAGCTGGATCGGAAAATATGGGAAAACACAATGTTCAACCCAGCTGGATGGGAAAATATGGTAAAACACAATGTTAAACCCAGCTCCATGTGAAAATATGGGAAAACACAATGTTAAACCCAGTTGTATGGGAAGATATGGGAAAACACAATGTTAAACCCAGCTGGATGGGAAGATATGGGAAAACACATTGTTAAACCCAGCTCCATGTGAAAATATGGGAAAACACAATGTTAAACCCAGCTGGATGGGAAAATATAGAAAACACAATGTTAAACCCAGCTGGATGGGAAAATATGGGAAACACAATGTTAAACCCAGCTGGATAGGAAAATATAAGAAAACTCAATGTTAAACCCAGCTCCATGGGAAAATATGGGAAAACACAATGTTAAACTCAGCTCCATGGGAAAACTTGGGAAAAGACAATATTTAACCCAGCTCCATGTGAAATATGGGAAAAGACAATATTTAACCCAGCTCCATGGGAAAATATGGGAAAACACAATTTAAAACCCAGTTCCATGTGAAATATGGGAAAAGACAATATTTAACCCAGCTCCATGGGAAAATATGGGAAAACACAATTTTAAACCCAGTTCCATGTGAAATATGGGAAAAGACAATATTTAACCCAGCTCCATGGGAAAATATGGGAAAACACAATCTTAAACCCAGCTCCATCGGAAAATATGAGAAAACACAATGTTAAACCCAGCTCCATGTAAAAATATGGGAAAACACAATCTTAAACCCAGCTCCATGGGAAAATATGGGAAAACACAATGTTAAATCCAACTCCATGGGAAAATATGGGAAAACACAATCTTAAACCCAGCTCCATGGGAAAATATGGGAAAAAACCAATGTTAAATCCAACTCCATGGGAAAATATGGGAAAACACAATGTTAAATCCAACTCCATGGGAAAATATGGGAAAACACAATGTTAAATCCAACTCCATGGGAAAATATGGGAAAACACAATGGTAAACCCAGCTGGATGGGAAAATATGGGAAAAACAATGTTAAACCCAGCTTGATGGGAAAATATGGGAAACAATGTTAAACCCAGCTGGATAGGAAAATATAAGAAAACTCAATGTTAAACCCAGCTCCATGGGAAAATATGGGAAAACACAATGTTAAACTCAGCTCCATGGGAAAATTTGGGAAAACACAATGTTAAACCCAGCTGGATAGGAAAATATAAGAAAACTCAATGTTAAACCCAGCTCGATGTGAAATATGGGAAAAGACAATATTTAACCCAGCTCCATATGAAATATGGGAAAAGACAATATTTAACCCAGCTCCATGGGAAAATATGGGAAAACACAATTTTAAACCCAGTTCAATGTGAAATATGGGAAAAGACAATATTTAACCAAGCTCCATGGGAAAATATGGGAAAACACAATTTTAAACCCAGTTGGATGGGAAAACACAATCTTAAACCCAGCTCCATCGGAAAATATGAGAAAACACAATGTTAAACCCAGCTCCATGTAAAAATATGGGAAAACACAATCTTAAACCCAGCTCCATGGGAAAATATGGGAAAACACAATGTTAAATCCAACTCCATGGGAAAATATGGGAAAACACAATGTTAAACCCAGCTCGATGTGAAAATATGGGAAAACACAATCTTAAACCCAGCTGGTTGGAAAATTCAATGTTAAACCCAGCTGGATGGGAAAACACATGTATAGACCACAGATGGCAGTTTGAGATCAGATTTGACAATTTAATTTTCATATTGAGCTAGAGAAAAATATTGGTTGAAAGACTACCTGAGATGGAGAGATTCGCTGGCTGGGTGTGTTGACGTAGCACGAGGTGCCGCCCAGGTAGATGTAGACACACCCTTCACCATCATCTTCGTCTGGTGCACCAACAGCTATGTCTGGAGAGGTCAGGGATGGAGGTGGTGGGGGGGGGGGGTACGGAGGTAGGTTATTAGACATGTTAACTTGACACATCAAAGTACAAACGTTCTGTTTAGGGCCAGGGTAAAGTATGATAATCCGTGGAATTGAAGTCTTTTATAGAGTCAACAGCATGGAAGTAGGTACTGAGTACTGCAGATTTTTTGTCCAATACCTTGTGTGGCAGAGATAACAGAGCTGTTGTAGACAGGATGGGACTAGACATTGAACGTGTCAAGATTAACATCTGTACATCTGACTTACCATTGAACCTGTCAAGATTGACATCTCCTATGCTGGAAATGGCCGTGCCAAAGCGAGAAAATTTTTTCCTGCTGCCATCAAGTGTGACGGTCAAACTATACTGGTGATACAACAGCAGTTAACAAAACTATAGTGGTGATACAACATCAGTCAACAAAACTATACTGGTGATACAACATCAGTCAACAAAACTATAGTGGTGATACAACATCAGTCAACAAAACTATACTGGTGATACAACATCAGTCAACAAAACTAAACTGGTGATACAACATCAGTCAACAAAACTATACTGGTGATACAACATCAGTCAACAAAACTATACTGGTGATACAACATCAGTCAACAAAACTATACTGGTGATACAACATCAGTCAACAAAACTAAACTGGTGATACAACATCAGTCAACAAAACTATAGTGGTGATACAACATCAGTCAACAAAACTAAACTGGTGATACAACATCAGTCAACAAAACTATAGTGGTGATACAACATCAGTCAACAAAACTAAACTGGTGATACAACATCAGTCAACAAAACTATACTGGTGATACAACATCAGTCAACAAAACTATACTGGTGATACAACATCAGTCAACAAAACTAAACTGGTGATACAACATCAGTCAACAAAACTATAGTGGTGATACAACATCAGTCAACAAAACTAAACTGGTGATACAACATCAGTCAACAAAACTATACTGGTGATACAACAGCAGTTAAAAAAACTATACTGGTGATACAACATCAGTCAACAAAACTATATTTTATTAATTTACACAAAACCTCACTCAACCCTAGACCCACAAAGCCATAAACTTACACAGCTCTAGACTCAAAAAGCCATAGACTCACACAGCCGTAGATTCACAAAGCCATAGACTCACACAGCTATAGACTCACACAGCCATACACTCACACAGCCATACACTCACACAGCCGTAGATTCACACAGCCATAGACTCACACAGCAAGCAGCCATAGATTCACACAGCCATAGACTCACACAGCAAGCAGCCATAGATTCACACAGCCATAGACTCACACAGCCATACACTCACACAGCCTTACACTCACACAGCCATACACTCACACAGCCATACACTCACACAGCCATACACTCACACAGCCATACACTCACACAGCCAATGACTCACACAGCCATAGACTTACACAGCCATAGACTCACACAGCCATAGACTTACACAGCCAATGACTCACACAGCCATAGACTCACACAGCCATAGACTCACACAGCCATAGACTTACACAGCCATAGACTCACACAGCCAATGACTCACACAGCCATAGACCCACACAGCCATAGACTCACACAGCTATAGACTAATACAGCCATAGACCCACACAGCCATAGACCCACACAGCCATAGACTCACACAGCTATAGACTAATACAGCCATAGACCCACACAGCCATAGACCCACACAGCCATAGATTCACACAGCCATAGACTCACACAGCCATAGACTCACACAGCCATAGACTAATACAGCCATAGACTAACCTGCCCGTTAGCTTGACGAGTGTAAACAAAGACACGCCCCTGATCGTGCCCCATGTCCTTGTCCTGTAGGTCCGTGTGGTAGGGTGCTCCAACCAGCAGCTCGTCAGTACCGTCCTGGTCAACGTCAACGGTGCCCACACTGTAGCCGAAATACGCCCAGACCTTTTTATGAACCATATCAGAACCATGTGAGAACCATATGAGAACCATATGAGAACCATGTGAGAACCATGCTAGATACTCCGTTGATTGACACATTATATTGATTCAACTATTTTCTAAGCATGTGAAAATAATCCGCCCAAATCGAATGCTGTAAACCTGTACAAAGTTGGTGGTCTAACAAAAATAGCGCCTCACCTGTTGACCTCTGAGAACCTGGATCTGTTGGAGAGATGAGTCGGATCTGTTGCGCCAGGAGTAGATCGTAACCTGCACGTTAAGAGATTAGAGTTCATCACTGTCATACTAGCGCACACATAAAGTATCTGGATACTCTACTGAGCTAAGATCTGAGATGAATTGTATTGAATGTAACATTGTATGTCGCGTGTAACCTTGGAATAAATGGGGTGGGGGCACTACTCTGCCTTTGCTTTGGCTTTCGAAAAAAAAAAAGATTCCTACAATCTTACCCTTTACATAAATCATTTTAATAATACTAACCAATTAGAAACATGTCAAGTCTGACTTACCTCCCCTGTATGTCAAGTCTGACTTACCTCCCCTGTAAAGTCTGACTTAACTCACATGTATGTCGTCTGACTTACCTCCCCTGTAAAGTCTGACTTAACTCACATGTATGTCAAGTCTGACTTACCTCACCTACTTGTCAAGTATGACTTACCTCCCATATATGTCAGACTAACCTCCTCTGTATGTCAAGTATGACTTACGTCCTCTGTATGTCAAGTCTGACCTACCTCCCCTGTAAAGTCTGACTTACCTCCCCTGTAAAGTCTGAACTACCTCCTCTGTATGTCAAGTATGACTTACCTCCTCTGTATGTCAAGTCTGACCTACCTCCCCTGTAAAGTCTGACTTACCTCCCCTGTAAAGTCTGAACTACCTCCTCTGTATGTAAAGTCTGACTTACCTCCGCTGTATGTAAAGTCTGACTTACCTCCCCTGTATGTAAAGTCTGACTTACCTCCCCTGTATGTTAAGTCTGACTGACCTCCCCTGTATGTTAAATCTGACTTACCTCCCCTGTATGTTAAGTCTGACTTACCTCCCCTGTACGTTAAGTCTGACTTACCTCCCCTGTATTTAAATCTGACTTACCTCCCCTGTATTTAAATCTGACTTACCTCCCCTGTATTTAAGTCTGACTTACCTCCCCTGTATGTTAAGTCTGACTTACCTCCCCTGTATGTTAAGTCTGACTTACCTCCCCTGTCAGGTTCTTGTTGGGAGCGCCAGTGACCAGACACTTAAAGACGTCCACACCACACAGAGACCCCAGCTTGACTGAGTAGCCTGTGGTTAGGTTAAAGGTTAGAGTTTAACCTTAAGGAAGTTTTAAGTTAAAGTTAAGGTTGGGACTGGGTTCGAAGTTTGGTATAGATCCAGTAATTATAAACTCTAGCCCCTCCCTAATCCTACACAAACAGCTGTCCAAACACTGAAAGAAACACCATGACGAAGTGAACGCCTGCCAACCGAGGTCCTTGGCTGGGTGTTAGACAAGATTTCTGCGCTTAAACTCCTCATCTAGTCTGATGTTTCTGACACGAAGTATAGTACCATGTGGTATAGCGGTATAGCTTTGAGCTGCTCGTCACTTTTGTGTTTGATTCACATTTTTTTGTGATGTTTTTATTTGTTGTTGCTATTTTGTTTTTTTTATTTTTGTGATGTTAGTTTTTACTTTCTCGCATACGAAGTATAGAGGAAGTATTGTCATCGTACTAAAAATCGAAATCGAAATTTTCAAAAATCTCTACGTTTTACACTTCCCTGAGTCGGAAAAATATAGTTTTGCAATACTGTCCTTATGTCTCTGTGGGTATGTATGTGTGTATGTGTGTCCGATATGCAACTTTATCATTCACATCTAAAAAAATGGAAAAAAAGAAGAAAATATTGACATAAAAATTGAAAATAAAATAACATTGACTTGATGTGTCTCGAACCCGTGCCAACCTCATGGTAACCAAATACGCTACAACTTTGCTATGTAGGCTCATGGGATAAGGAATATTTTTACTAATATATTTTACTATTAGTCTGCGTAAGACACTTCATTTAAGCGAATAGGCCCCTAGATCTTAAATTATTTCAAATTAATTTTATCTCAAATTAGCCAATTCCATAGCTAAACAAACAGATTTATAAAAAAAATAATGAAAGTCTGAAATGGTTTAGAATAGAAACTCATTATTATCTAGATCTAAATCTAGATATAGTTATCTAGATTGAACGACTGGTTTGGTTAAATCGAGTTTTCACGTAGTAAAGTTCTAGATTAAGAACCTAGATAGATAAATCCCTGGTATTCTTCAATTAGATGATCCTTGAAGCTAAAAAGCTAAGATTTATATAAAATATTTAAGGAATAAAATAGTTAAATAAAGAAACTCAATAATTTATTGTGATTTTATTTTTAACTAATTAATTTCGGTTTGACCTAGATACTATATCTATAACTTTCTGCATCAGCTGATCTTTAGATTCTAGATCTAGAGAAATTTACTGTATACTGAAATGAAAAGGACTGTTCAAAATTGAAGTAAGTGTTGGAAAAATAATAATAGCAAAAAATAAAAATAGCAAACGGACGTATCGTTAAAGTTATAGCCGACATAACATTAGCTTCTAACGAGTTAAACGTTTTAATGGGCACCAAAATCTTCGATGGAAGCCGCCATTACTGTTGTAAAAAGTAAATAAATTATGTGACGTCACTATAAGTTATGTCATTGTTCTGAACTTTTATAATTAATGTGGTTAATCTACCAATGAATAAATCAATAAATTAATTCACATCTTTAAATAAATTTGTGATTTACAGTCTTTTTAAAAAAGAAAATTGTTCTCTACCTAAATACTATTTTACAGCTCTACACATAGAGCAGATTCTCTCCTGTAACCAAACGGACAAACAAAAAAAAAATATTCAAACATGTAAACAAACTTGAGTTTTAGTAGTATACTAGAATACCCGTCATCCGTTGGATAACTGTGGGGTTCGGGGGTCATCCATCAAAAAACATCACGTCTGTCACTCAGAGGCATAGCGACCCTTCCCGGCGCCCGGGGACAAACTTTTCGATTCGAACCCCCCCCCCCCCCGCAAGATTTCGATTTGCAACCCCCCCCCCCCTCAAACTTTTGATGTGCACCCCCCCCCCCACTCAAACTTTCGATTTGAACCCCCCTCAACCTTTCAATTTATTTTTCCAAACCATTTTGGCGCCCCAACATATGTCCCCACCCCCTTCCCCCCTCCACCTCCCCTCCACCTCCCCTTCCCCCCCCACCCGCCTCCCCTCCCCCTCCCGCCCCCCCCCCCCCCCCACCCCCCCCTCCTCGCTACGCTACTGCAGTGTCACTTATCGTCACAAAAAACAGACCCCACATTCAAAAATATGTTTTTTATCTTTTAAAAACACCGAAAACGCCGATTTCGGACTATCCCTTCATATACTGACGTCACAGGTGACCTACTCAACTCTACTTCACCTGCCCAGTGTCCCGCCAAGTCTCAGACAACATGTTTTTATCGTTTAAAAAACTATTCCAGCCGAGCATGTCTCTGAACACACTATCCTTTCATATGCTTAGGACAAAGAAACAGATGAACTCTACTTCACCTGCCCTGTATCCTGCCAAGTTCAGATAGGCAACTTTATCATTCACATCTAAAAAAAAAATTGAAAAAAAAAAATATCATTGACATATTGGTCTAGAACCTGTGCCACCCGCATGAGAGCCGACTACGCTATCAACTTAGCTATTTAATCGTGACGTCACAAATGAATTTTTATACTATACTTTGAGTCTCCTTATGCAACTTGATTTACGCGCATAGATCTAGATCTAAGTCTAGTAGTAGTAACTTTCAAATTAAATTTTATCTTAAATTAGCCAAACAAAGATTTATATAAAATAATTAAGGCCTGAAATAGATTCTATATGTAGAATTTACATTAAGTCTAGATCTAGAATTTACATTGAGTCTAGTGACCTCGATCTAGGCTAGATCTAGATCTAGGCTAGATTCATAACTTTCCTTCGACAGCTGATCTTTAGATCTAGAGAAATTTATTGTAAAACTAAATGAAAAAAGACAGTTGAAAATTGATATAAGTGTTGGAACGTAATAAATACAGCAAACGGACGTATTGTTAAAGTTATGACCGACAGAAAATTAGATTTAGAACGCGTTAAACTTTTGAATGGGAACACAATTTTCTACGATACTAAAGAGTAAACAAAAAACTGTGACGTCACTGTCCCGCCGAGTGTAGTGGTCGTTCTAAACTTTTAAAAAAAATAGGTTTACACTACGTATGAATAAATCAATAAATTAATTAACGTCTTTAAATAAATGTGTGATTAACAGTCTTTCTTAAAACAACAATTTTTCTCTACCTACATACTATTTTACAGCTCTCCACGATGAGTGCAACCATGCGAGATAGTCAATCAGCCAAACAAACAAACAAAAAAACAAATAAATATTCAAACATGTAAACAAACTTGACTTTTAGTAGTATATAGATAGATAGATAGATGTGCTAAAAAGGAGAAAATAAATGGTTTTCTTTAAAAGTATTATTATACTATTTTACACAGTTATTTAAATAACTATAAAGAAAAGCGTTAGTAAAAGTGTCCAATACATATTATACATTGTATAGCGACCAACAATTTAAAAAAAAAATTATAAAAATAATAGTGTATTATAATATGTTTAAAGGAAATCATTCATGTTCTCGTTTTTAGTGCATTATTGCATACAAGGGTGTTATTAAAACGTTTTAATACATTTTAAATATTATTGTTGTGGTTTTTGTTTTTCTCTATCACTAATAGATAGGTAATCATTATTAAGGGGAAATGCTCCTTACAAAATCGCCAAAATCCTAGTATTTCTTCATAATGGGTTTCTTGTACTTTTTATACTTGTCAATTTTTGTATTAAGAAAATAACTCAAATGAGAAAAAAATGCTTGTGTTTAAAATATCGTTTTTATGACCCAATTAATTAAAAATAATTGTTTTTTCGCGATCTTACAAACTCTCTACGAAAAGTTTTATATCCGTCATCCTATTGTATTTGTGATCATTGGAAAGCTTGATTTCTCGTGTATCTGATAACCTTAATTTCCATAATATCAGAAACACACAAAGCTTAAAATTGGCTTGCAGTTTACACAGATATGGTATTTTCGTGACCTACCTTTCGTTACTTTTTGCTGTTTTTCTCAGTTCGCACTTTTTTAACACTAAAAAGCCTACTACTTTATTTATTTATTAAGCAATGCCAACCATATTTTCAGTAATTGTTCTTCATGCAAAAATACAACTATTGTCACGAGGGAATTGTGATAGCTTTCATAGAAAAAAGTTTATGGTAAATAATATGCAAAATTTGAAACTTTTGAATGCTAAAAAGGGTACGATTTTTTCAGACCTTGTAAAATTCTGACCAGTAGCTCTTTCAAAAGTTGTCGTGACAAAAGTTTTAATATATAGGCTACTGAAATATATGCCGTTTAAATTTGATTGCTATAAGTGCATACATTTAAAAAAGCCTTAGCACTTTTAAAAGTACTAAAAAATTCATAAAGGCGGAGGTTTTTTCGGGTTTCCAGGACTTCTAAAACTGTTTTCAACCCTTTTCTGCTGTTTAATACTTACTTTCATGGACCAAACATGGAAAAAAAAATTCAAAATGCTTTAGATCTTAAATTGTCAAAAATAGAAATAAACTGAGCAAATCTTCTTAAATGATTGTGAGCTTAGCAATTCTGAAAAATTAGGCAGAATAGTTAGATTTATTGAAACGATCTTAGATCTAATAAAAAGCATTTGATCCGATTATAAGACGTAGGAAGCGCTTTGACCATAAACAACGAACAATTTGTGAAGCAGCATCTAAAATCCGGGTCATTCATAGCCATGGCACTGTTTTGTTATATACGCATGCGCAGTGGCTAACCTTAACTCTAAACATTCTTTCAACTTTCTTCCGACTAGAAATACTCTCATACGTAGCATGACTCTACCGTCGACTTAATCCTCTGTCGACTTAATCCTCTGTTGACTTAATCATCTCTCAAATGAATGTCATGTAAATGTGTATATCTTTAAACTTACAAAGAGTTAAATACCTTTCCTACAAATGTGTATATCTTTAAACTTACAAAGAGTTAAATACCTTACCTACAAATGTGTATATCTTTAAACTTACAAAGAGTTAAATAACGTACCTACAAATGTGTATATCTTTAAACTTACAAAAAGTTTAATAACTTACCTACAAATGTGTATATCTTTAAACTTACAAAAAGTTTAATAACGTACTTACAAATGTGTATATCTTTAAACTTACAAAAAGTTTAATAACTTACCTACAAATGTGTATATCTTTAAACTTACAAAAAGTTTAATAACGTACCTACAAATGTGTATATCTTTAAACTTACAAAAAGTTTAATAACGTACCTACAAATGTGTATATCTTTAAACTTACAAAAAGTTTAATAACTTACCTACAAATGTGTATATCTTTATACTTACAAAAAGTTTAATAACGTACCTACAAATGTGTATATCTTTAAACTTACAAAAAGTTTAATAACTTACCTACAAATGTGTATATCTTTAAACTTACAAAAAGTTTAATAACTTACCTACAAATGTGTATATCTTTATACTTACAAAGAGTTCAATACCTTACCTACAAATGTGTATATCTTTAAACTTACAAAGAGTTCAATACCTTACCTACAAATGTGTATATCTTTAAACTTATAAAAAGTTTAATAACGTACCTACAAATGTGTATATCTTTAAACTTACAAAAAGTTTAATAACTTACCTACAAATGTGTATATCTTTAAACTTACAAACAGTTTAATAACTTACCTACAAATGTGTATATCTTTAAACTTACAAAAAGTTTAATAACATACTTACAAATGTGTATATCTTTAAACTTACAAAAAGGTTAAAAACTTACCTACAAATGTGTATATCTTTAAACTTACAAAAAGTTTAATAACGTACCTACAAATGTGTATATCTTTAAACTTACAAAAAGTTTAATAACTTACCTACAAATGTGTATATCTTTAAACTTACAAAAAGTTTAATAACGTAACTACAAATGTGTATATCTTTAAACTTACAAAAAGTTTAATAACGTACCTACAAATGTGTATATCTTTAAACTTACAAACAGTTTAATAACTTACCTACAAATGTGTATATCTTTAAACTTACAAAAAGTTTAATAACATACTTACAAATGTGTATATCTTTAAACTTACAAAAAGGTTAAAAACTTACCTACAAATGTGTATATCTTTAAACTTACAAAAAGTTTAATAACGTACCTACAAATGTGTATATCTTTGAACTTACAAAAAGTTTAATAACGTACCTACAAATGTGTATATCTTTAAACTTACAAAAAGTTTAATAACTTACCTACAAATGTGTATATCTTTATACTTACAAAGAGTTCAATACCGTACCTACAAATGTGTATATCTTTAAACTTACAAAGAGTTCAATACCTTACCTACAAATGTGTATATCTTTAAACTTACAAAAAGTTTAATAGCGTACCTACAAATGTGTATATCTTTAAACTTACAAAAAGTTTAATAACTTACCTACAAATGTGTATATTTTTAAACTTACAAAAAGTTTAATAACGTACCTACAAATGTGTATATCTTTAAACTTACAAAAAGTTTAATAACTTACCTACAAATGTGTATATCTTTAAACTTACAAAAAGTTTAATAACTTACCTACAAATGTGTATATCTTTAAACTTACAAAAAGTTTAATAACGTACCTACAAATGTGTATATCTTTAAACTTACAAAAAGTTTAATAACGTACCTACAAATGTGTATATCTTTAAACTTACAAAAAGTTCAATACCTTACCTACAAATGTGTATATCTTTAAACTTACAAAAAGTTCAATACCTTACCTACAAATGTGTATATCTTTAAACTTACAAAAAGTTCAATACCTACAGACCCTGGCAGTTGTTAGATGACCCAGCTGTTATCACCTCCACCTCCACCCCCACCCCCATCCCGACCCCATCCCACCCCAACCCCATCCCCACCAACAGCCCAACCCCCACCCCCACAAGTACTTACCCGTGTATCCGTATGCTCCAGCGGGTATGACGTTTAAATCTGTTTGATTAATTTCGGCGCTGTGCTGTGTGTTCATGTCTTGTATGTGTACATTTCCTGCCGAGATGGCAAACCTCAATTGAGAGCCAAGATTTTTTTAGCGGTACCTACATTTTAGCCGACTCTTGATTTTAAATTCGGCATTGATGTTTTTAATGGCTCATTTGTATTGAACTGACACACTAGTAGCAACTATTTTATACTGAGACAACAGTAGCAACTGATATAAACTGATTGTTATATGACGCTAACATTAATTTAATGACTGTAATATTATGGTGACACTAATTTACTGACTTTTGTATTAAGGTGACACTAATTTACTGACTTTTGTATTATGGTGACACTAATTTAATGATAGTTGTATTATGGTGACATTAATTTAATGAACGTTATAAGATGGCGACATTAATTTAATGACTGTGACATATAATGAAGGGACTGACCATTGGACATGTAAACTCCCGTTGCACCAGCGACAAACACAGAATCCTGTAACAAAATGTGCTCCAATGTTAGTTTTCTCTCAATAACATCTTTTAAAACACACACCAAATTAATAACGATGGTGTAGGAAGACCCATCATCACAACCCGAATACATAGAATACCCAACCCCACAATCCGAATACAAAAAGAGGACCCAACCTCACAAACAGAACACCAAGAGGACGCAGTCCCACAGACAAACATACCCCATCACAGTTCCCGGAGATCCCGAAGCCAGCCGTATACCACCGATTCTCTTTCTTGTTGTTCAAGTGCACGACATATTTATTCCGATCACTGCTGAAGTAAGGTTCGTAACTTTGTCCAGTCATATTCTCCTAACAGAGTGGTATATGACACCATTAAGCGATGTTTTATTTTATTAATATAATATTATATAATATTATATAATATTATATAATATTATATAATGTTATGTTATGTTATGTTATGTTATGCTATGCTATGCTATGCTATGCTATGCTATGCTATGCTATGCTATGCTATGCTATGCTATGCTATGCTATGCTATGCTATGCTATGCTATGCTATGCTATGCTATGCTATGCTATGCTATGCTATGCTATGCTATGCTATGCTATGCTATGCTATGCTATGCTATGCTATGCTATGCTATGCTATGCTATGCTATGCTATGCTATGCTATGCTATGCTATGCTATGCTATGCTATGCTATGCTATGCTATGCTATGCTATGCTATGCTATGCTATGCTATGCTATGCTATGCTATGCTATGCTATGCTATGCTATGCTATGCTATGTTATGTTATGTTATGTTATGTTATGTTATGTTATGTTATGTTATGTTATGTTATGTTATGTTATGTTATGTTATGTTATGTTATGTTATGTTATGTTATGTCATGTCGTGTCGTGTCCTGTCCTGTCCTGTCCTGTCCTGTCCTATGCTGTCCTATGCTATCCTATGCTATTGTATTGTATTGTATTGTATTGTATTGTATTGTATTGTATTGTATTGTATTGTATTGTATTGTATTGTATTGTATTGTATTGTATTGTATTGTATTGTATTGTATTGTATTGTAGTGTAGTGTAGTGTAGTGTAGTGTAGTGTAGTGTAGTGTAGTGTAGTGTAGTGTAGTGTAGTGTAGTGTAGTGTAGTGTAGTGTAGTGTAGTGTAGTGTAGTGTAGTGTAGTGTAGTGTAGTGTAGTGTAGTGTAGTGTAGTGTAGTGTAGTGTAGTGTAGTGTAGTGTAGTGTAGTGTAGTGTAGTGTAGTGTAGTGTAGTGTAGTGTAGTGTAGTGTAGTGTAGTGTAGTGTAGTGTAGTGTAGTGTAGTGTAGTGTAGTGTAGTGTAGTGTAGTGTAGTGTAGTGTAGTGTAGTGTAGTGTAGTGTGTGAGAGTGTGTTTGTGTTTAAAATAATTGCTTATTATGTTGCTTGTTATTTTCGAAAAATTGAGTTTTGATACAGGGTAAATCAGTGTAACTAAATTATCTGTTACACACATCTATATATCTGTTACCGTTATTTGAACTATCTGATATACACAGCTATCCTTCCACATGACGCTATTATACAACTAAGTGGACTAACGAGCAGCAAACCGCAGAATTAGGACAGCGTTAAGGTGAGGAAATACAGCGTCGCTTCACAAAACTCAACAATAAAAGTAACTTAGTTTTATTCTTTATAGTAGGTCAAGGTTGTATACATTCTGGGAGGTCAAGGTTGTATGTATTATATGGGGTCAAGGTTATTTACATTATGGAAGGTCAAGGGTGTATACGTTATGGGAGGTAAAGGTTGTATGCATTATGGGAGGTCAAGACAGAACGCTGTTCGCTTGACCCAAGAGTTTTGCCCTTACCTTTCTGACGTTGATGCACCTGCCAATCATGTAAGTAAATTGCTTGATCATGGCAGTTCTAGTGTCTTTAAACATTGGGCTACAAACCTATAAAACGTGAACATTGAGCTACAAACCTATAAAATATGAACATTGGGCTACAAACCTATAAAACACAAACATTGGACTAGAAACCTATAAAACATTAACATTGGGCTACAAAACTAAAAAACATTAACAATGAGCTACAAACCTATAAAATATGAACATTGGGCTACAAACGTATAAAACATTAACATTGAGCTACAAACCTATATAACATGAACATTTGGTAACAAATATATAAAAACATGAACATTGGGTTACAAACATTTATAACATAAATATTGGGTTTTGTTTTGTACGTCATTGCTATAATTAGATGTGTAAGCTGTAAGCTACAGTTTGACGTGTAAGCTGTAAGCAGTAGCTAATTTGGTTGCCGATATCAAGCTCGACAGTCACGTGACTTACTATCATACCGCCGTCATCCAGCGCCATCACAGTCGAACCAAAACCTTCGCCTACACTTGAGTTCTCCCAGCCTGTCGACAAACATCAAATGTCAACAAACATCAGATGTCAACAAACATCAGATGTCAACCAACTTTAGATGTCAACAAACTTTAGATGTCAACAAACATCAAATGTCAATAAACATCAAATGTCAACAAACATCAGATGTCAACCAACTTTAGATGTCAACAAACATCAAATGTCAACAAACATCAAATGTCAATAAACATCAAATGTCAACAAACATCAGATGTCAACCAACTTTAGATGTCAACAAACATCAGATGTCAACAAACATCAAATGTCAACAAACATCAGATGTCAACAAACATCAGATGTCAACAAACATCAGATGTCAACCAACTTTAGATGTCAACAAACTTTAGATGTCAACAAACATCAAATGTCAATAAACATCAAATGTCAACAAACATCAGATGTCAACCAACTTTAGATGTCAACAAACATCAAATGTCAACAAACATCAAATGTCAACAAACATCAGATGTCAACAAACATCAGATGTCAACAAACATCAGATGTCAACCAACTTTAGATGTCAACAAACATCAAATGTCAACAAACATCAGATGTCAACAAACATCAGATGTCAACAAACGTCAGATGTCAACAAACATCAGATGTCAACCAACTTTAGATGTCAACAAACATCAAATGTCAACAAACATCAGATGTCAACAAACATCAGATGTCAACAAACGTCAGATATCGACAAACATTTGATGTCAACAAACATCAGATGTCAACCAACATCGGATGTCAACAAACATCAAATGTCAACAAACATCAGAGGTCAACAAACATCAGATGTCAACAAACTTTAGATGTCAACAAACATCATATATCAACAAACATCAAATGTCAACAAACATCAGATGTCAACAAACATCAGATGTCAACAAACATCAGATGTCAACCAACTTTAGATGGCAACAAACATCAAATGTCAACAAACATCAAATGTCAACAAACATCAGCTGTCAACAAACTTTAGATGTCAACAAACTTTAGATGTCAACAAACATCAAATGTCAACAAACATCAGATGTCAACAAACATCAGATGTCAACCAACTTTAGATGTCAACAAACATCAAATGTCAACAAACTTTAGATGTCAACAAACATCAAATGTCAACAAACATCAAATGTCAACAAACATCAGATGTCAACAAACATCAGATGTCAACAAACATCAAATGTCAACAAACTTTAGATGGCAACAAACATCAAATGTCAACAAACATCAAATGTCAACAAACATCAGCTGTCAACAAACTTTAGATGTCAACAAACTTTAGATGTCAACCAACTTCAAATGTCAACAAACATCAGATGTCAACAAACATCAGATGTCAACAAACATCAGATGTCAACCAACTTTAGATGGCAACAAACATCAAATGTCAACAAACATCAAATGTCAACAAACATCAGATGTCAACCTACTTTAGATGTCAACAAACTTCAAATGTCAACAAACATCAGATGTCAACAAACATCGGATGTCAACAAACATCAGATGTCATCCAACTTTAGATGTCAACAAACATCAAATGTCAACAAACATCAAATGTCAACAAACATCAGATGTCAACAAACATCAGATGTCAACAAACATCAAATGTCAACAAATAATCAAATGTCAACAAACTTTAGATAACAACAAACATCAAATGTCAACAAACATCAAATGTCAACAAACATCAGATGACAACAAACTTTATATGTCAACAAACATCAGATGTCAACAAACTTTAGATGTCAACAAACGTAAGATGTTAACAAACTTTATATGTCAACAAACATCAGATGTCAACAAACTTTAGATGTCAACAAAAATCAGATGTCAACAAACTTGAGGTGTCAACACATTCAGATGTCAACAAACATCAGATGTCAACAAACATCAAATGTCAACAAACATCAAATGTCAACAAACATCAGATGTCAACAAACATCATATGTCAACAAACTTTAGATGTCAATAAACTTTAGATGTCAACAAACATCAGATGTCAACAAACTTGAGATGTCAACAAACATTAGATGTCAACAAACATTAGATGTCAACAAACTTGAGATGTCAACAAACATTAGATGTCAACAAACATTAGATGTCAACAAACATTATATGTCAACAAACATTAGTTGTCAAAGGAAAATGATTGGCGACAGCCTAAAACTGACAAAAACTTATTAATTAACATTAATGTGTCTACAATTTTGTCATTAGGTAATGTGGTTGTCTGGTCATTTGGTTGTGTGTGTGTAAGTGGTCGTGCGGTTATGTGGTTGTGTGTGTAAGTGGTTGTTGTGGTTATGTGGTTGTGTGTGTATGTGGATGTTGTGGTTATGTGGTCATATTGTCGTATAGCTGTGTGGTCATGTGGCCACAGTGGCGTCGCTATGTCGGGTGTCACCCGTTACGGCACCTAATAATGTCACCCCCTTCCCCAAAAAAAAATATCAGTTTATATGTATATATATATATATATATATATATATATATATATATATATATATATCGGAATCTCTGATTTGCACTCATTAAGACATTAAACTCTAATTAATCATTAATTAAAATGACAAAATGCATTTTTCTACTATGCATTTTTCATTTTTTGGTGTCACCCCCCGCCCCCCTCTCCCGCTTTGCGACGCCTCTGTGTGGTTATATTATCATCAGGCTGTGTAATCATATGTTCATGTGGTTGTGTGTTCATGTGGTCATAGTATCATGTAGTTACAGTTCTGTAACATTTGTCTCAAAGTTCTGTAACGTTTGTCCCAAAGTTCTGTAACATTTGTCCCAAAGTTCTGTAACATTTGTCTCAAAGTTCTGTAACGTTTGTCCCAAAGTTCTGTAACATTTGTCTCAAAGTTCTGTAACGTTTGTCCCAAAGTTCTGTAACATTTGTCTCACAGTTCTGTAACGTTTGTCCCAAAGTTCTATAATACATGAACCAAAGTTCTGTAACGTTTGTCTCAAAGTTCTATAATACATGTACCAAAGTTCTGTAACATTTGTCTCAAAGTTCTGTAACGTTTGTCCCAAAGTTCTGTAACATTTGTCTCAAAGTTCTGTAACGTTTGTCTCAAAGTTCTATAATACATGTACCAAACTTCTGTAACGTTTGAACTACAGTTCTGTAACGTTTGTCCCAAAGTTCTGTAACGTTTGTCTCAAAGTTCTATAATACATGTACCAAACTTCTGTAACGTTTGTACTACAGTTCTGTAACGTTTGTCCCAAAGTTCTGTAACATTTGTCTCAAAGTTCTGTAACGTTTGTCTCAAAGTTCTATAATACATGTACCAAACTTCTGTAACGTTTGTACTACAGTTCTGTAACGTTTGTCCCAAAGTTCTGTAACATTTGTCTCAAAGTTCTGTAACGTTTGTCTCAAAGTTCTATAATACATGTACCAAACTTCTGTAACGTTTGTACTACAGTTCTGTAACGTTTGTCCCAAAGTTCTGTAACATTTGTCTCAAAGTTCTGTAACGTTTGTCTCAAAGTTCTATAATACATGTACCAAACTTCTGTAACGTTTGTACTACAGTTCTGTAACGTTTGTCCCAAAGTTCTGTAACATTTGTCTCAAAGTTCTGTAACGTTTGTCTAAAAGTTCTATAATACATGTACCAAACTTCTGTAACGTTTGTACTACAGTTCTGTAACGTTTGTCCCAAAGTTCTGTAACATTTGTCTCAAAGTTCTGTAACGTTTGTCTCAAAGTTCTATAATACATGTACCAAACTTCTGTAACGTTTGTACTACAGTTCTGTAACGTTTGTCCCAAAGTTCTGTAACATTTGTCTCAAAGTTCTGTAACGTTTGTCTCAAAGTTCTATAATACATGTACCAAACTTCTGTAACGTTTGTCCCAAAGTTCTGTAACGTTTGTACCAAACTTCTGTAACATTTGTCCCAAAGTTCTGTAACGTTTGTACCAAACTTCTGTAACGTTTGTCCCAAAGTTCTGTAACGTTTGTACCAAACTTCTGTAACGTTTGTCCCAAAGTTCTGTAACGTTTGTACCAAACTTCTGTAACGTTTGTCCCAAAGTTCTGTAACGTTTGTACCAAACTTCTGTAACGTTTGTCCCAAAGTTCTGTAACGTTTGTACCAAAGTTCTGTAACGTTTGTCCCAAAATTCTGTAACGTTTGTACCAAAGTTCTGTAACGTTTGTCCCAAAGTTCTGTAACGTTTGTACCAAACTTCTGTAACGTTTGTACCAAACTTCTGTAACGTTTGTACCAAACTTCTGTAACGTTTGTCCCAAAGTTCTGTAACGTTTGTACCAAAGTTCTGTAACGTTTGTCCCAAAGTTCTGTAACGTTTGTACCAAAGTTCTGTAACGTTTGTCCCAAAGTTCTGTAACGTTTGTACCAAAGTTCTGTAACGTTTGTCCCAAAGTTCTGTAACGTTTGTCCCAAACTTCTGTAACAATTTTCTGGAAGACTCGCCGAATGTTACCATTAACTTACCTCTGGAGTCGTTGAAGTAGAGTTTCTCTGAGCACGTCACGTTGCCATAGAGACCGCCGAGACATTTGTAGACAGCCCCGGATCTCCGTCCGCCATCTGGTGTGTCGGCATGAGGGGCCCCCACTAGTAGCCTGGGGAACATTGTATGTTACATTTTATGTTACATTATGTCATATTGTATGTTACATTTGATGTCACATTATGTCATATTGTATGTTACATTGTATGTCACACTATAAGTCATATTGTATGTCATATTGTATGTCACACTATAAGTCATATTGTATGTTACATTTGATGTCACACTATATGTCATATTGTATGTCATATTGTATGTCACACTATAAGTCATATTGTATGTTACATTTTATGTCACATTATATGCCATATTGTATGTCATATTGTATGTCACACTATAAGTCATATTGTATGTTACATTTTATGTCACATTATATGTCATATTGTATGTTACATTTGATGTCACACTATAAGTCATATTGTATGTTACATTTTATGTCACATAATATGTCATATTGTATGTTACATTTTATGTCACATTATATGTCATATTGTATGTTACATTTTATGTCACATTATAAGTCATATAGTATGTCGTATTGTATGTCACACTATAAGTTATATTGTATGTTACATTTGATGTCACACTATAAGTCATATTGTATGTTACATTTTATGTCACATTATATGTCATATTGTATGTCGTATTGTATGTCACACTATAAGTCATATTGTATGTTACATTTGATGTCACACTATAAGTCATATTGTATGTTACATTTGATGTCACACTATAAGTCATATTGTATGTTACATTTTATGTCATATTATATGTCATATTGTATGTTACATTTGATGTCACATTATATGTCATATTGTATGTCATATTGTATGTCACACTATAAGTCATATTGTATGTCGTATAGGGGTCTAAGACAAATTCCCGAAAGACACTTGCCCGAATGCGACAAATGCCCGAATGGACACTGGCTTTCGGGTATTTGTCGCATTCGGTCAAGTGTCCATTCGGTCAAGTGTCCATTCGGTCAAGTGTCCATTCGGTCAAGTGTCCATTCGGTCAAGTGTCCATTCGGTCAAGTGTCCATTCGGTCAAGTGTCCATTCGGTCAAGTGTCCATTCGGTCAAGTGTCCATTCGGTCAAGTGTCCATTCGGTCAAGTGTCCATTCGGTCAAGTGTCCATTCGGTCAAGTGTCCATTCGGTCAAGTGTCCATTCGGTCAAGTGTCCATTCGGTAAAGTGTCCATTCGGTCAAGTGTCCATTCGGTCAAGTGTCCATTCGGTCAAGTGTCTATTCGGTCAAGTGTCCATTCGGTCAAGTGTCCATTCGGTCAAGTGTCCATTCGGTCAAGTGTCCATTCGGTCAAGTGTCTATTCGGTCAAGTGTCCATTCGGTCAAGTGTCCATTCGGTCAAGTGTCCATTCGGTCAAGTGTCCATTCGGTCAAGTGTCCATTCGGTCAAGTGTCTATTCGGTCAAGTGTCCATTCGGGAAAGTGTTGTGGCGGATGGAGATGTTATGTAACGTTACAGAAGTAGGGGTGCTAAAAGGAATTTTGACATTACTCTCCCCCTATAAATAGCCCTGTTCATTTTACGAACCTCAATACCTCAGTTCATTTTTCACTCTCTCAATTACCCACCCACCCAGGACATTATTTCAACCTAAAACTGCAATAGGATATTGACTACCCCCTTAAAGCTACCCATACTTATGAGTAAGGGTAAGGGTAAAGGTAATGTAAACGGCAACGATAAAGGTTACGTTAACTTTAATGGTTATGGTATTGTTCCGCTTTGCAATTATTAGCTATTACGTTGTAAAAAATTATATACTCTTACATGATACTATTGCGATATTTTATTTTTGTATGTTTCAATTATAGGTGGGGTTGTTGCTCGATTACAGAGACAAAGTAAGTAACAAGCGGTTTTCTGTTGAATGGTTTGACTCTAATGGTTGGTGTATTTGTGACTCTGATGGTTGGTGTATTTGTGACTCTGATGGTTGGTGTATTTGTGACTCTGATGGTTGGTGTATTTGTGACTCTGATGGTTGGTGTATTTGTGACTCTGATGGCTGGTGTATTTGTGACTCTGATGGTTGGTGTAGTTGTGACTCTAATGGTTGGTGTATTTGTGACTCTGATGGTTGGTGTATTTGTGACTCTGATGGTTGGCGTATTTGTGACTCTGATGATGGTTGGTGTATTTGTGACTCTGATGATGGTTGGTGTATTTGTGACTCTAATGGTTGGTGTATTTGTGACTCTGATGGTTGGTGTATTTGTGACTCTGATGGTTGGTGTATTTGTGACTCTGATGGTTGGCGTATTTGTGACTCTGATGATGGTTGGTGTATTTGTGACTCTGATGGTTGGTGTATTTGTGACTCTGATGGTTGGTGTAGTTGTGACTCTGATGATGGTTGGTGTATTTGTGACTCTGATGGTTGGTGTAGTTGTGACTCTGATGATGGTTGGTGTAGTTGTGACTCTGATGATGGTTGGTGTATTTGTGACTCTGATGGTTGGTGTTTTTGTGACTCTGATGGTTGGTGTAGTTGTGACTCTGACGATGGTTGGTGTATTTGTGACTCTGATGGTTGGTGTATTTGTGACTCTGATGGTTGGTGTTTTTGTGACTCTGATGGTTGGTGTAGTTGTGACTCTGATGATGGTTGGTGTATTTGTGACTCTGATGGTTGGTGTAGTTGTGACTCTGATAATGGTTGGTGTATTTGTGACTCTGATGGTTGGTGTATTTGTGACTCTGATGGTTGGTGTAGTTGTGACTCTGATGGTTGGTGTATTTGTGACTCTGATGGTTGGTGTATTTGTGACTCTGATGGTTGGTGTATTTGTGACTCTGATGGTTGGTGTAGTTGTGACTCTGATGATGGTTGGTGTATTTGTGACTCTGATGGTTGGTGTATTTGTGACTCTGATGATGGTTAGTGTATTTGTGACTCTGATGGTTGGTGTATTTGTGACTCTGATGGTTGGTGTATTTGTGACTCTGATGGTTGGTGTAGTTGTGACTCTGATGATGGTTGGTGTATTTGTGACTCTGATGGTTGGTGTAGTTGTGACTCTGATGATGGTTGGTGTATTTGTGACTCTGATGGTTGGTGTAGTTGTGACTCTGATGATGGTTGGTGTATTTGTGACTCTGATGGTTGGTGTATTTGTGACTCTGATGGTTGGTGTATTTGTGACTCTGATGGTTGGTGTAGTTGTGCAACGAACCGTGAAACCGAGGAATAGCTGCTGATGTGTAGGTTCTTTTTTTAGATCCACGTGCTGTTGCTGTTTTGAGCGTAGCATTGTTAAATGCTCTTTAATTTTTCTTAAAACATTTATATATATATATATATATATATATATATATATATATATATATATATATATATATATATATATATATATATATATATATGTATGTGTGCGTTAACGTTTTCATTAGCTTTCATGGCTTTTAATGGGAAACGCTCCTTACAAAATCACCAAATTCCTGGTTTTTCGTTATGATGGGTTTCTTGCACTTTTGGATACTTTGTCCACTTTATATTTAAAAAAAAATAATAGACTTAATGAAAAAAGAAAGTTGTGTGTTTAAAATACCATTTTTTTACGACCATATTAATTAAAAAATAATCATTATTTTTTTTCTCAATCTTACAATCTCTATTTTTTTCTCAATCTAACAAGCTCTCTACGAAACGTTTTATATCCGTCATCATATTGTATTAGGCATCATTGGAAATCTGCATTTCTCATGTATTTGATAAGCTTATTTTCAAACATCTCAGAAACACCCAAAGCTTACAATCGACTTTATAAATTACACACATTTCGTAACCTACTTTCGTTACTTTTTGCTGTTTTTCTCAATTCGCAGGTTTTTAACCCTAAAAAGCCTACTTTTTTAAATTTATTAAACAATGCCACCATATTTTTAGTAATTGTTCTTCGTGCGAAAATAGAACTTTCGTCACGAGGGAATTGTAATAGCTTTCATAGAAAAAAAGTTTATGGTAAATAATAGTTTAATATGCATATTTTGAAAATTTGAATACTAAAACGGATACTATTTTCCGGACCTTGTAAAATTCTTACCAGTAGCTCTTTCAAAAGTTGTCGTCACAAAAGTTTTAATATATACTGAAAAATAAGCCGTATAAATGTGATTGCTATAAATAAAAAAAAAGCCTTAGCGTTTTTAAAAGTACTGAAAAATTCAAAATGGCGAACGTTTTTACGAGTTTCCATGATAACCAAAATTGTTTTCAACCCGCTTTTTTTCTATTTAATACTTACTTTCATGTGCCAAACATGGTAAAAGTATTCAAAAAGCTTTAGATCTTAAACTGTAAAAAATAGAAGAAAAAAAAACAGAGCATATCCCCTTAAATGACTGTAGCGAACCCTAGCCAATGAAGGTTAGTCCTAAGTAATAGAAATATGTTGCCATGAAGTTTTTTGTCTAACTTATTTTGTCTGAGATAATTTATGCATAAGATGACTTGTTCGTGAGATATTTTGTCCTGACGTTTGTCTCGATTTAGTGATATGACTAAGTGATGACCACTCACAATAAAAATAGTCTATTGTGTTTTCTGACTCATAAGTCAAATCAAATCCTGTTTCTGATCAGACAAGCTATTTCCTGTTTCTGATCAGATAAACTATATCCTATCTAAAATTTAAGCACGTAGTTCAACAATATTTAGTTTTCTGGGATCTGATAATCAAATATTTACTGTCGTTTTTATTTTATACCTGATTGTAAATTAGAGAATAGAGGTCATTAAAAGCACACTGTAATAAAGAAATTATTTTATTGCTAGATTTGACAGCGACACATACGAAATGTACACGAGTTGATCTAAACTTAGTCCAAACACGTATATCTACATGAGTTGACCTAAACTTAGCCCAAACACGTATATCTACATGAGTTGACCTAAACTTAGCACCAACACGTATATCTACATGATTTGATCTAAACTTAGCCCAAACACGTATATCTACATGAGTTGACCTAAACTTAGCACCAACACGTATATCTACATGAGTTGACCTAAACTTAGCACCAACACGTATATCTACATGAGTTGACCTAAACTTAGCCCAAACACGTATATCTACATGAGTTGATCTAAACTTAGCATCAACACGTATATCTACATGAGTTGATCTAAACTTAGCCCAAACACGTATATCTACATGAGTTGATCTAAACCTAGCCCAAACACGTATATCTACATGAGTTGATCTAAACTTAGCATCAACACGTATATCTACCTGAGTTGATCTAAACTTAGCCCAAACACGTATATCTACATGAGTTGATCTAAACTTAGCCCAAACACGTATATCTACATGAGTTGATCTAAACTTAGCCCAAACACTTATATCTACATGAGTTGATCTAAACTTAGCCCAAACACGTATATCTACATGAGTTGATCTAAACTTAGCCCAAACACGTATATCTACATGAGTTGATCTAAACTTAGCCCAAACACTTATATCTACATGAGTTGATCTAAACTTAGCCCAAACACGTATATCTACATGAGTTGATCTAAACTTAGCCCAAACACGTATATCTACATGAGTTGATCTAAACTTAGCCCAAACACTTATATCTACATGAGTTGATCTAAACTTAGCCCAAACACGTATATCTACATGAGTTGATCTAAACTTAGCCCAAACACGTATATCTACATGAGTTGATATAAATTTAGCACTTACGTGAGTGTGTCGTTCTGGTCTTGTGGGAAGGTGAAGGTCATACTGTAGCCAAACATCGATCTCTCCGGTCCCCTGGCTATCTGGGCGGTCATTGTGTTGATGTTGAACCCCTGGACGTGGCTGAGCAGGCAGACGACTAGAGCTAGCTGATCTGGTCCCATGTCTGACGGTCAAATGTTGACAGATATCCAGTGTGTCGGACTGAGACGGCAGTCTCTTCACATGTGTTGGCAGGTCTACACGCTTCACGCCAGCCGCTCTCGTGTGAGTAATCGCATGGGGCGTCGCTGTTACAGAGGGCAGAGGCGCAGCTACAGGGGGCAGAGGCGTCGATTAAGAGGGCAGAGGCGTAGATTAAGAGGGCAGAGGCATAGATTAAAGAGGGCAGAGGCGTCGATTAAGAGGGCAGAGGCGTCGATTAAGAGGACAGAGGCATAGATTAAAGAGGGCAGAGGCGTCGATTAAGAGGGCAGAGGCGTCGATTAATAGGGCAGAGGCATTGATTAAAGAGAGCAGAGGCGTGGATTAAGAGGGCAGAGGCGTCGATTAAGAGGGCAGAGGCGTAGATTAAGAGGGCAGAGGCATAGATTAAAGAGGGCAGAGGCGTCGATTAAGAGGGCAGAGGCGTCGATTAAGAGGGCAGAGGCGTAGATTAAAAGGGCAGAGGCGTCGATTAAGAGGGCAGAGGCGTAGATTAAAGAGGACAGAGGCGTAGATTAAGAGGGCAGAGGCGTAGATTAAGAGGGCAGAGGCGTAGATTAAAGAGGAGAGACGTCGATTAAGAGGGCAGAGGTTTAGTGAGAGAGAACTAGCTTGTGTTGTAAAATACATCTTTTAGATCTATTTTTAGATTTGAGGAAACAGCGAAAACATAACCAACACAAACACACACATCAACATACAAACACAAACACAGACACACAAATATACGCAGACATACACTAACACATACACAGACATAAATACACACATTTCTCAGAAGAAAAAAATAACCAGGTCGAAATATCTGTAATAAATAAATAGAACATGGAAACGTCGGGGTGTCATAAGAAAACAAAAAGCCGCCAATGGAACACGTCAATTACATAATCTATCACCTTTGTTGATCTACTGGGCAACTTTTTAATATACTTGCACATCCCCGCTCCCCCCCCCCCCCAGCTCGTAAATGTACGTGCATGTCCCCCCCCCAGCTCCTAAATGTACGTGCATGTCCCCCCCCCCCCCCAGCTCCTGAATGTCCGTCGTCCCCCCCAGCTCCTAAATGTACCTGCATGTCCCCCCCCCAGCTCCTGAATTTACGTGCATGCCCCCCCCCCCAGCTCCTCAATGTACGTGCATGTCCCCCCCCCCTGAATGAACTGATTGTATCCGCCTATGGTACATTAGCTAGACCACTTGATGTGGCTGCCTATAGAATCGCTCCTGTCGCCAGTGTGCTGGCTATGGTCGCGATTCATGAGCTATTTTTAGCCATGGTCCGACCGGGAACTAAGTTCTCAACCCCGGAGCTTTTTAGTTGTATATTGACAGACGATACTTTATATTAGTTATAACTTGAAGTTTGATTTGGTCAAGTTTTGTACTGCCAATATTCTTTTGATTGCTAGATAAAAATACAAGGACCATCTAACACCTACATGAACTAAACTGGCCTACTTTGATCAACTTAACCTACGTAGACCTACATGGACCTGAAATGACCTACGTAGACCTACATATATCTGCAATGACCTTCTTACCATCACTGACCTATTAAGACCTGCGTTGAACTAATACTCCACAAACTAAATTAAAAAGACCTCCAATGACCTATTTTAACAACCTTGAGTTAAAGAGCTTACACGTATATCTACGCTGACTGTGAGCTAGCCACGCCCACTGTGTGCTATCCCCGCCCACTGTGTGCTCGTGCATGTATCTTGCGTCGAGTGGTAAACACAGGGACATTGTGAGTAATGTGAGTGATGTGAGTGATGTGAGTAATGTGAGCGCTACTTGATGCAAGCAAAAGTCTGGTTCCTCATTATTTCCTTCTAAATGAAAGTATATAAAAAAGCAACTAAAAAGAGTTACAGCAACTCAAATTGTCACCCCCCCCCCCCTTTTCCAGTTACAGCCCCAACTGCAATAGAAAATTTAAACTAGCTGTGATAACAAACAATTGACAGACAACTCAGTATCTAACTTTATGATGAATACACGATTCCCCAGTTAAGTCCCTTAGCTTAGCTTTCCTTGGGTTGTGTTTGTAAGGTGAGATCCGGGTCAATAAAAACTTCGCTATCAAACAATGGGGCGATAGTTCTGACAACAATACTGGACACTCCCAAAACTATGTTTAATTCCGTGGCGGAACTATATATGTATATATATATATATATATATATATATATATATATATATATATATATATATATAGATATATATATATAAATATATAAATATATATATATATATATATATATATATATATATATATATATATATATATATATATATATATATATATATATATATATATATATATCAGTAGCTCAAGCAGGGGGGGGGGAGCAGGTGGAGTGACCGCTCCCCCTCTGCCCATTTTCAGAAAAGTGGCGCCTTTTTGGAAACTTTTTAAACTCAAAGTTTTAAACATTGATATTTGTTAAAAAACTATTTTTGGTCGGCACATCTATGTAAATCACAAGATTTCTTTTCATGCAGCAATTAAGCATTAATGTACTAGTCTAGTAGTGTCTACGTTTACAACACGTATTAACAGCTGCATCAGTTTGCCATTCTAAAAATAACCATTACGATGCAGTGCAATGTTTAAAAAACCTCTACGGGTAGTACCACTTGGCAAGAGGGGTGTTAAGTTTAAGGCAACTGTATAATGTATTTGCTTACGAATAATTGAATTAGAAAATGTTATACATAAAACTTCACACATAATTACTTTATATATACAGTTTGAATCGTGTGATTAATTTAAACAAATACAACTGATGTGGCACCTCCATTTAAATCTACTTATGAGCAAACTGCTCATAGTGGTGGGGAAATTTTGACAAGGTCAACAACGTCATCACCATGAAGTAGTAGTATTCTTACAGTTTGGGCGATACTGATTACGTGGGTCAAGACATGAAGACAATGCAATCTGAAACTAAATTTGACTTAATTGGATGCCCAATTAATTTTTTATGAATTAATTAAAATTTGGACCGAATTAGTAGGCATGTCTATCCAACCACACCACACGAATCATCACGCTCAATAGCTGCGCCATCACGTTCAATGGCTGCGCCATCACGTTCAGTAGGCGCGCAATGTTTTTAGTCATGTAACTCTATTGTAAATAAAACAAGTACTGAAATAAATTCATAAAAAACGTTTTAATAACAAGTTTTTATGTAATGATGCACTAAAAAGTAGAACAAAAATTATAGACTACTATTTAAATAACTATAAAGAAAAGCGTGGGTGTCTTCCTTAACATTAGTAAAGGTATCCAATAGATACTAAAGAGACCCACGCTTTTCTTTATAGTTATTTAAATAGTAGTCTATGATTTATTTTCTACTTTTTAGTGCATCATTACATAAAAGCTTGTTATTAAAACGTTTTTTATGAATTTTTTTTGTATTTGCCTTTGCATTGTGTTTTCGTTTGTGTTTATGTTGTTTTTTTTCGTTTGCGCTTGTGTTGGTTTGTTGCATTTGTGTTTGTATTTTCGTTTGTGTTTGCATTGTGCTTGTATTTGCATTGTTTTTGTGTTTGCTTTTTCGTTTGTGTTTGTGTTGCATTTGTGTTTGTATTTTCGATTGTGTTTTTTTTTCGTTTGCATTGTGTTTGTATTTGCGTTTTCTTTTGTGTCGTGTTTTTTTTTGTGTTTGCGTTGTTTGAGTTTGTGTTTGCTTTGTGTTTAGTTTTGTTCTATTCCCAAGTTGGTACATTTAGAAAAGATTTACCCTGGCGGAGCACGGGTATGCAGCTAGTATTTAAATAACTAGAAAGAAAAGCGTGTGTCACTTTATTATCTACTGGATACCTTTACTAATATTAGGAAGAGACCCACGCTTTTCTTTATAGTTATTTAAATTTAAAGTAAACCATGAACGATTAATTGGACATTGAATTAAGTCAAATTTAATGTCAGATTGCATTGTCTTCATGTTTTGACCCAAACGCTCATTTTGAAACGAATCTGTCAGCTAGATGTTCCAGAAATTTTGGTTGAGCGTTTCGATTAATGACACCATACTGTCGACAGACTGACGACAGAAGAAGCAAGTTAAATAACTAACTTGTGGTAAAAGGCGTGGGTCGCTTCTTAAATTGCTGTAAAGGTATTCCATAAGTTAATATAACAACCCTCGCTTTTCACTTTAGTACATACACCAACGTGTTGTATACATACATAACTTGGTGTGTACGTACACAAACGTGTTGTGTACATACAGTGTTATGTATATACACCAACGAGGTGTGTACATTCACTAACATGATGTGTACATGATTTAGAACAAGGACGCATGATACTCGCCCACATGTCAGTCCATGCTAGACATTTTTTTTCCTCTTTTTCTTTTTTTTGAATACATAATTCTCAGATTTTTGTTCTTGTTATTTTGTACATGTACAACGATTTAAAATTATATGAGCTGAAATGAAATTTTAGTTAATTATTTTACCAGAAAGAAAATTTTTGAATTTAATACAAAAAGTTTTGTACGAGTGTTTAAACTCTTGTGGTGTTAGTAGGTTGTCACTTGAAAGATTGTAGTTTTTTTTGTTGTTGTTGGGCCGAGGGGCGCGAATCTCATCATGTGTCTACTATCCTAGTGACGCCAGGGTTTAGAAACGTGAGGTATCCGCGGAAAGCAAAAACTGTTTGGCCCACAACAATTGTGAGAGGAATGTTTTTAATAGTTCTACACCTTAACTGCCCTCATTTATCTCGCTCATTACATAACAAAGCGTAGTGTCTAAACAAATATCTCTCTCATTACATAACAAAGCGTAGTGTCTAAACAAATATCTAGCTCATTACATAACAAAGCGTAGTGTCTAAACAAATATCTCGCTCATTACATAACAAAGCGTAGTGTCTAAACAAATATCTCGCTCATTACATAACAAAGCGTAGTGTCTAAACAAATATCTCTCTCATTACATAACAAAGCGTAGTGTCTAAACAAATATCTAGCTCATTACATAACAAAGCGTAGTGTCTAAACAAATATCTCGCTCATTACATAACAAAGCG